ACTACTGAAGGGGTTGTTCTGGTATGTAGTGGTTGTGAAAAAAATGGGTCAGAGGTAAAACGTTCCTTAAGTTCCAACTGTAACCTTTGTAACCCAAAGATACAAGAAGTCCAAGCGAGCTTCCTTCACAGGAGAGTCAGACTCTGCCTCAGAGATACGGGATAAGCTCCATCAGACACCTATACACTGAAAAAAGCTGAAGGGCTTCAAATTGCAATCAGTAATCTTTCACTTGGTACAAGATCCTTTCATAGTGAAGAAAAAGAAATGGTGATCGTCACCAGGGAGAGGGAAGTGGAGGTCCCTTCCTGTCTTCCCTGCGACCTGATTTGGGTTAAGCAGGAGACAATGTTTGGAGGATGAAGACACTGCATCTCTTACAGAGCCAGTGTCCATCCCACCATCATTAGTAGATAAAAAAAACAGCAATCAAGGGTCATCATTCAGGAGTTGCTCTGTAGGTGAACATCATCACCTTCACTACAAAGTTGGAGGTAGGTTTGGGTAGTTTCTCCCTCATTTCAAAACAGTTTATTATTATTATTCAGCATCCCATTAATCTATTTTTTAAACAATTAGAAAACTTAAAACAACAGATGTTTACATTTTAAGACAAAGCATGAGATCATCATCGGATGAGGTCCACAGAACTTCCTACTGACCAGAAGAAGGCGATTTTATCACCGAGTTTCTTTTCATGGAGGTTGCGGTCGAGCAGGTTGTAGCAGATGTTTGTGGTGGCTCCTTCCATACACTTGATGAAGATTTCTCCTTTGGTAACATCGAAGTTGTAGTCCAGGAACCGCCCTGTGTGTTTGGTCTTCCAGAAGAAGTCTTTAGCAATGGCGCCCCAGAACTCTAGTGAAGAGAAACGGGGTAGTTAGAAAAAAGCCCATCTGCCTTCATGACGTTCCTAAATAATCTATATTTAAAAAGACAAAATGACATATTGATAATAAAAAAATTGGGTAAAAATACCAATTTTGGGAGTTTTTCTGTTGTTGAACAAACATTCCCTACTTAACCTCTGACTAAAAAGGAGGTAGAACAGTTCTGCTCCCGTTTCAGCATGGATATCTGTTTTTTAGACCTTTAATCAGTCCAATGATTAACCTCTAATATCTTATAAGAGTACAGAATGATTTACAACTTTACTTTTAACAGACTATTTGCATTACATCAGAGCTTGGAGGTTGGATAAAATGTGTTTGGGCTGAGCTAAATGATCCCTCGAAAAGGGTTATGATTACGGTTGTAAGTTTATGATACCTTCCTAGCAGGATGCAGCTACAACTCAGTACTATTTGCTACAAACTGGGCCAAACTCCTTCTCTTCCTGCAGTTATCTGCATTGTAAATGTCTGCACAATAGTAAACCATGTGCTTCAATAAAGCGTATTGTCTTTATGTCTGGCTTATGACTGCAAATCTAACTGCCTTTAGTGAAGATAAGACACACGGAACCTTGAAGCTCTGGAAGCTCTTACCAGGAAGTAACTCGGTGAAAAAATACTAATAAAAAAAAGGACAATTTCTTGTGTCCCATAGTTCAGACTAAGATTAGGATAAAACCGCAACAGCAGGAAAATAAGAAGTTTATATAGATGATCACACTAGTTGTATTTTTAAATGACAAAGCATCATAAAGTTTAATTCTGGTGGGAAATTAAACGTTTAGCAAGGCAATATCACAAGCGAGCACTACAGGGTCACACTACAGGTTTGCAGGAGGAAGGGTGGATGGATTGTGCAACTCCAAAATGATGAAACAAGTTGGTATTAAGGTCTCCTCAGCAGGTCATCATCAATAGTTCCTTTAGTGTAATGCAAAGACAACTAAGTCATTATAACTGGTGAAGAAATAATCCAGCTTTTGATCTTAAATACTAGAATATTACTCAATTATAGCACATGTCTTTTTACATGGGCCAAGCTTTAAATGTGGCCCTCACAGTAACTAAAGTCTGTAAGTAAGAGGATGGAAAGATAAATATTACATGTATGTATGTATGTAGGGCTGCAACTAACAACCATTTTGCTGATTAATCTGTTGAGATTTTTTGATTAATTATCAGATAGCAAAAGGTTCCGTAAAGAATTTTTAGCAGAACTTAAAACCAGGGGAAACAAGTTTTTTTTTCCTTTTTTATCTTGAATGTAAAAATTTTTTTTTTTTTTACAACTTTGGTATAATTACTTGTCTGAGTGGTCTGCTCTGTCAGCGAAAGGCATGTTTTAGAGTATTTAGACTCCAGTTAACAATCAAATGCTAAATAAGTTGATTATTATTTCTAGAATTGACGAATCTGATGAATTGTTTCAGCCTTAGATGTATGAGAGGAACAATTCAGTTTCAATTCAGTTTATTTCTATATCGCCAATTCACAACACATGTCATCTCAAGGCACTTTACAGTTCACCAGATCATACAGTCAAATTGATTTTCCATCTAAGGAAAACCAGTTGTTTGCATCGAATCATTGACTCTAATGCAATCCCTCACACTAAGCATGCTTGTAGCGACAGTGGAGAGGAAAAACTCCCTTTTAACAGGAAGAAACCTCCAGCAGAACCAGGCTCAGTGTGAGCGGCCGACTGGGGTTCAAGGAGACAGAAGCAGAGATACAAAAAGCAAGTGTACAAAGCGGCCTCGTCCAGGAACAATGAAATAAAAGGATGGACTGATGGATAAATTGTTGGATGTAGAAATTATTTAGAAAAAAAAAAAAAACTGTTTTTAAACTTTTATTTTTCTAAGCATCATTTGTTTTTTCAGGGATGTATAATTATCTAGTGAATATCTGGATCAACCCAGGGGGTAAACTATCCATATTGTAATGGGGTCTATATATGCAACAGGAAACATAAACCTATGCATCAAATCCCAAACGCTCCAATTCTATTTTATTTATTTTTTTCTAAAGTAATGGAAGCTGCATTTCCTCATAAATCATCTTTTGCTGAGTTTGAACTTTGGCTGCAATGTCTTGCTCCATTGGGAATATTTGCTACTGCAAAATCTGAGAAATTCCTGGAGAAACTCCAATATTTCACAGATACTATGTAGCAACAGAGCAACGCGGATGCATTGCTGGGTGTGGAGACGCAATTCACCAGGTTACGACACGTCTATCCCTATGTTTTATATCTTTTATGCTTCCTCAAGTAGCCATTTACTGCCTCTAACACCAAATGCTGCTTTATGTTAATAAAATAGGGCAAAGGACTCACCATCTGGATTCTCTATAGAGTTGATGTAGAGCTCTTTGTATCGCTCAAAGCTGGGGATGTGGGACTCTTTCTTTAGGTCCTCATTGCAGTGGAAGACGTCTTCCTTCGGGGCTTGATCGGGAATCATGTTTCTCCAGGGTTAATCCAAACACAAGCCAAAGTATGGACAGCTCAGCCTGATGTTTCTAATAGAGTCCTCTACGGCAACCTAAGGACCAAATTTAAGCAATCTACTTTGTTGTTTAATTCGTAGAAAGCAACTGGATTTGATTCCTCAGTTCTTTAACTCATCTGATGAACTGTCAAATCTCGCGCGAATGGCAAATATTCGAAAAAGCTAACTGCAGATTTCATTCAGACTTCCTTGTTCTGTAGGGTGATTTATTAAACTTTTATTTAAACCTGGCGTAAAAGAAAATATTTATAAATAGACCCAAAACGTGCCGTTGGATGTATAAAACGACGTCCAGGTCAGCTGTGGCGCAGCAGCCGCGTCTGGTCACTCCTGGTTGAAGACGGACGTGAAACTGTTTGACACCCGCGAAGCTAACAAGCTAAGCTAAGGAGAAAAAGAAGTCAAGGTTCGCTTCATCCGCCAAATGTTCTGTTCTACACGTACCGAACCCAGTTATGTGTAATTATCAGATAAGCCCATGCTTTCATCCAGCATAGTTCTATACAACGGTAATAAAGTGTTTTCAGCCGTAGAGCTAACTCTTTGTGCGCCTCTTGACTGTTTATTGTGTGTGTGCTGCTGCTGGACTGTTTGGCTCCGAGCCAGAGCCAATCAGAATTCAGGGTGTGTTCACGTGTCCCTGGTGACAGCTCGGAATTTACTGTTTGACATATGCATATATTAAATGCGAAAACGCTTTATTTGTGGCTAAACAGTACATATTTAAAATGTTTTGGTACAATTTAAATCTTAAAAGACTATTTAATATATACTGTCAAGATATCAGTCGAGTTTTCCTTGACATCCCCAACAGCGTCATGAAAGTGAAAAGGGCTAATGGCGCGTTTGGGTCAAATCTGAGGTCGAAACTTGGATCAGGTTATAGTGGCACGCCCTAAACCAGTGCATGACAATACAAATAGAAACATTTTATTTAAAAGTATCAGATTAGTTGTTTAAAGTTCTATCTCTAATAATTACAAAAATTGTATACAATTTCCATGGTCTAATAAAAGCATTATTTTTAGTGTTTATAAAGCTTAAGTATTACTTTTGAAAGTCTATTTACAGGGAGGTGATCTTCAGGGACACTCTCAGGGCTTTTAGGGCCCCTTAAAAGATTTCCTCTGGGACTTCTGTATTTGGCTGCATCTAATTGTTACATTAAAACATACCAACTTCCTTTCCTCTGTCGAATAAAAGCATCCCAACTCTGCCACCAAGATGTGTTAAACATTTCTACATGTCAAGCTCATTCTAACTATAGTACCTCCAAGAGGACAAAATGGAAAACAAGACAATATAGGAGCATTTTTTTCCAAAAATATTTTGATAAAACTGATATTTTGCCGTTATTTGAGCATGACCTGCCTAAATTAGACATCCAGCAGCACTGCTATTGCATCTATGAATTAAGATTTAGGTCATTTAGGACTCATACACAAGTTTTACTTAGGGAAACTATCTTTAAATCACTATATAAGGATTATTAAAGGATAAAAGAGATCAATTTTCATTTTTTTTCCAAAGAACCCCCCTAAAAAATGTTTTTTAGCCCTTCCTAAAAACAGAACAGCATAAATCAAAGGCAACCTTTGACAATGAAATACTGTTTTATTATTTGTACAAAAAGCATTTTTAAAAGATCCAACTTCAGCAGAGATTAACAATTATCATCAGAGAGAGGCCTGATGCAAAGGAGAGGGAAGAAGTCAGGTGGCCCTGGGCTCACAGTGTAAAACAACTAATCAGCTCTGATTGTTGAGAACACAAAGGTCTGGGGTAGGTACCAGCAAAACCTTTAAAGCCACTTCTTTCTGCTCAGGAATTTTTAATGAAAAGCCCAAACTCTGATCTGCTACAACAGGCATTTGGAAGATGTGGATCTGTCCTCACCAGCAGGAATATATGTGAGCTTTAAAAGCTAAGGATCAATGAGAGCAGAAAGTCTCAACAAGCAGGAGCACTTTCAGGTTTGGGTAAAGAAAAAAAAATCCACCACAATTTAAAGTAGGGAGAACTCGACATGCAGCTCAAAACAAAGAAAAAACTCAAACTGACAAAGTAGAAAACATTCGGAGAATTTCCAGCAGTAAGAGCAGCTCACATTAGCACTTGGATGATTTGGTACAAAGGCCACAGTGTAAAACATTGCATCACAAAGAGCACTTCTGACGAGTCTCCCTTCTGTCGGTTTCAGGTATTTAAGGACTTGAGAAAGTCACAGTGACAAGCAGGACAGGTTTGTTCTACCGACTCTGGCACTATGTCTGCACCTCTGCTTAGAAATGGCTAATTAAAAACAGCCACTATTGCCGTTTTAAATACAACTTAACCCCGTGGCTTTCAATTCACCAGAGAAAATAGTTTTTAAGTCATGAAAAACTGTTACTTAAGAAGTTGGGTAATCAATTCTTTTAGAATGTTGAAGGCTTCAATATTTCATCCTGCAGTAATAAGCATCACTAAAGATGCAAAGAAGCAATACAGGAAAAAATTCAATAAAAACAAAAAGCTGCATATTTCGTTTGTGCTGTGCTTCCGAAACCACAAAGAACTGACAACACTCGCTGATAAAAAAAAACTGAAGCACCTCAAAGGAAAGGTTTGATTTGTATGAAATTTGGTGCAAATGCAGACCCTAAAGGAAATGGAATCCCTACAGAAACTAGGAACGTGACAGGGCATGGGTGGAGGCATTGCAACTAAAGAGACATTGTTTTCAAGCAGCTGCTGAATCGTCCTATTTGGAAAGTGAGAAGATGCTTTTTGGACAGCATTAGAGGCACATGATGCAGCTTAATATTTGTCACAATGTGGGTTTGGATGAAGTTAAGTGTCATACTGCTAAGCATGAGTAGAGAAAGCATGTCATGTTTGCAAATGGCCAGAATTAAAGGCGCAATCACAGTATATGAATGATACAACCCCTAGTCCCACCTAAAAGGAGATACAAACATCAAACTATTAGTAAATGAACAATCACTACTCCTAAGAGTCTGCAACTATATCAAAATACTGTGGCTCCACATTTAATTCTACTTATGATGCACTATGGTGTTTGGTCTAGACTTGCCAGCTTCATTAAATTTAACAAAGTTTCTGAACCATTTCTGGGATAAATCAAACTAAAGTCATTTTGTATAAGATTGACATCCTTTATTGAGCTTAAAGTGAAGTCTAAACTGTTTCTAGTTTTGTTTTTAAATTTTTCTGATTCAGGTTGAGTGTTTGGTCCTACAAAAAATATCCAATAAAATAGGATTTTTGGGAAGGGAAAGAAACCCCAACCCTCCAAAAAAAAACATGAAAACATGACTTGGCCTACAAAATGGGCTTTAAAAAAAAAAATCCCACTTTTGACAGTAAACAAGAAAAAAAAAATCCTCAAAAAGAAAGGTAAAAATAAGAAAAAGGGTTGATCTAAGTGAAGGCAAGTACCAATAGAGAAAAACCAAGGCCCCTGGGACGCAACCAATCCTTCTACTCTTGGCAGTGATGGAGCTTTAACACCACAGAGATAATTCAGAAAAACACAATCCATAAAAAAAAAAAAAAACAGTTGCATCACAAATTTAGATGCAACTCAAACAGGAACTACTGCGCGTTCGGGTGGCTGAGCATGTGCCTGAAATACATCTGTACTATTTTAATGAAAAACAGTGACGTACAAACTATTATATATATATTAAAAAAAGGACTATTAAGAGTGAAATAAAACCCAAACAGATTTTTGACAAACATTTTTATGAATAAGGCCTTTGAGAAAAACGTTCCACTAACAGAACTAAACATCAGTGTTTTGGTTAACTTAGAAAAAAAATGTGACACTGTTACATACGTCTAAAAAAAAAAGTCTCCAACCAAACCCAGAACAAACAATAATTCTGATTAAAATTGGTTAGACTAATGAACCCTAACAGCCCAGATGAATGGAAAGGGAGAAAGATATGAGGGACCAATGAAAGCAGACTAATGAGATCATCATAGGCTCACAGTGCTCATCAAGCAGCTGGTCAGGTCAGCTGTAACATTCAAAACTAAAGAACCAGCTTAAAGGCTACATTTGGGAATTGGGATTGGATCTGCTGATCAGCAGGAACAGAACTTACTGAGCAGTCACTGGTAATCAGCAACAGCATTTAGCACTTTCTAAAAATCACAAAATAAGCTCGGTAGGGTTAGACACTTTTTTCCTAGATTAGGGAATTGCACATTTTAAAAGCTTGAAATTTGACAATTTTGTAAGAATCAATGGATTGTGAATATAGAGGAAAAAAGAGATTTCTTAGAAGAACCTAAAGATGAGGACATGGAGGGAAAAGACAGAAATGGGACAATAACTGGACAGAAGCACTTCACACAGAATAATTGTTCATAGGTGGTAAAAGGCCAAAAGAAGACCATACCGTTCCAATGTCCCAGAATAAAGATGAAAAGATTGTTTTACAGAGAGCTAGCTACCAGAGCATCAGTTAGTCAAACCACTGCAGAGGTTAGCAGACAGAGGATAAAGCATCGATGCAACAGACAGCCTCTCCGGACATCCACCCAGCTTCACACAAACCAGACCAGGGATCCATGTGAAGCTCTATCAGGTGCTGAACAATGTGTCTAAGGATAATCCTACATATCTGCCAACCTCAATGTCTTGTTCTGACTGTCAGATGCTTCAGATACTGCTGGACTACTCGTTCACTTCTGCCCTCTGGTGGTTGTTTTAGCAATGCAAGTTTTAGGGAAATCAAAACCATTTATATTTGCATCCCTGGTCTGCATGTGGACCAAATCAGATTAGTCTGACAAACCTCTCCTATTTAATTAATCTGATTTAGTTACCAATTCAGAACATTTATGAATGATAAAAACAAGACCATATAGAAAAAAAGACGGTATGTCCCTCAGTATTTGATCGGGTGTTGTGCTTCTCTTCATGGTCACCAGCAGAGGCACAGAGTGGCTGCAGCACCGTGACAGAAACAAAACATTCAGGGTTTGTTTGGAACAAAGGGCTGGTAAACCAGCTCTGTCATTAGGAGGACGAGGTTCTTCATTTGCATCAAACAGGTTATCAAACACACACACACGCACATAAGAACAGCCACGACATCACTTATGCTTTTTACACTGGAGTCCACAACAGATACCAGATCTAATCCACTCAGATCTGGTTTTGGGAAGGACCGGATTACAGGGCAGCGCTAGGGTTGGCTTTTGAAGGCTTTGTCGATTATAGAGAGCGGGCTTGGTGTCAGGGTGTGAAACCAAACCGCCTTGGCCTGAAAAAAAAGGACTCTGAGGTGGGTTGATACCAGGACATCGGATGAGAATCTGCTCGCAGTCTTGATTTAAAACTCTTCCTGCTCTTCGGCATCTGGTATTACAAAACCGTCCTGCAGAGAGACGACACAGGCAGAATCTGTTAGAAGATATGGAGGCTAAGGCAGCTGGTATCAAGTTATAAATATTAAAAGCTCTTGATATGGTGCACTTAATGTTTTCATAAGGCTGCCTCCTTGTCTTTGAGTTTATCTGCGTTTCGAAGTGATGGAGGAGATAGCTCTGCTCTGATGTAGGAGGAACATTTCTTCCTCTCTGGCTGACCCATTTAGAAATCAGATTCTAAACAACCTTCCTTTTCAAACCACTTCCCTGCATCTCTACCTAAATTTCCTCCACAAATCTCCTGCTTTTCCTCTATATTCATCTTCCTTTGCCCAGTACATCCACAAACACTCATCTGGAACTCTACTTGCTCCTCATCTTACTTGCTGTGGAGGAAATAAACTATTCAAGCACATCTATAATCGGTCAGTGAAATTTATCAAATATCTTGACATTAGTTTCTATCACAGAACAATTCTTTTATATTCTCAACAAGTAGTTAGAAAAATCTTTAACTGATATTGCAGATACAGCCAACATAATACATAAATTTGCAGATTATGATGAGATTTGTTGCTTCATTTAATAGAAGCAGAGCTAAACCCACAAGTTGCCGACCTTTTTTGATAAATAAAATAAAAAAAGATCAAAAGTAGTTGAAGGATGATGGCATGCCATCTTTGGACTCATTGGAGTATTTTTACCACTTAAGTTTGCATCAATGAGGACTAGAGCTGAGGCTGAAATATGCATACATTTCATATATCCGAGGAAGAGTTATTGGAAGAACTAATGTATTCTAGTGCAACTCTAATTCAATTTATTTAATTGAAATATCACAATTGCACTGAAAACACATCTAGTGAGAAGTCAGAGTAAATTCAAAAGGATGCAAGGAGTCATTGTAACATGAAAACTGTTCCAGGACCAGTCGGCTGTATGCTTCTTTTAAACAAGGGGCAGCTTTCATAGGATTAGAGTCTAAATATATACATTAATTTACCTTTTGGTCTCAGTCATAAAACAGATTTATGGAAATCTAAGAGAGGATCTCAATTCTTATTCAGAGGAAACTGTTTACAACTTATTTTGCAAATCAGGCTAATTATGCTAATTGCTAATAGATACAAACTGGATACTTAGGATAGTGGAAGTGTTTTATAGGAACTCTTAACTGGTAAACTTATCTCCTGATGCAAAATATTAACATTTGCTCAAAGTGCTGGTAAAGATTCTCAATCATCCAGGTCATAGTCTTTGCAAAAAGTAAATAAAAAAAAATAAAAAAAAAGCCACTGGACTTTGTTTCCAAGTTTGAAGACGTTTCGCTTCCTATAAAGCAAGCCTTTTCAATTTAAAATGTCAGAAATAGTGTTCAGTTTAAACTCAGCGCAAACTCAAACTTGTTTTTTAAAATCTTTTTTAGAATTTGCTCATAGCAAATAAAACTTCATGATTGCCATTCTGAAAAATGCAATTTGTTTCCCAGCTGTTTCTATGTCATTCTGGACATGCCAGATAAAAATATTCGCCTTGAGCAGCTAGAAGAGTAGTCTTATCTATGGGTCCCATGGAATATTGAAACAGCACAATGCCGAAGATGGTTACCAATTCTCCAGGTGTGAAATAAACCAAATCAAGAGCCTATCTGACATCTAGACCAACAAACCATCTGGTTTTGAGAATTTTACTGCTTTTACTTGTTAAAAACCCCCTTTAAGGGACCATAAGTCCAGTTCAGGCTGTATTTGTAGTTGTCAGATATCTTTTAAGGTTCTTTTGTTCAAGTTCAGCGAGTCAAAGATTCAAAAATGTTATGTCTAAATTCAGATCGTGAGAACAGTGTAGGGAAATTCCATAGTATTCCAGAATGCATAAGTCCTAATTATATATATTTTTTAAGGAAAAACTAGAATTTAAATTAAGTTATACAAAAACGAAAAATTTAGAAATGGGAAACAAAACTAATACAAAACAATATTCTTTATAGGGGAAACTTCCTACAGCTACTGTTTCATTACTCGCTCTGCGTTTTGAAACCTTCCTCAATAATTCCAAGGCAGGACAGATAATAAAGTCGTGGGAACAGACTACATTGAGTTAAAGAAAAAAGGCCTTAATGAATCGACTGTCAATTATTGAAAAATAAGCGGTCAGAAAAAGATTTATTTTAATGAAAAAACTCACGTCTGTGGCATAGAGAATGTCGACAATCCTCTGCAGTGTGGGGTCGCCCTCTCCTTCTTTCTCCTGGCAAATCAGCTCAATGTTCCTCAGCTTACCAAAATAAAAGTCTCTTTCCTTCTCCATATCCTGAATTGTGGATTTCAGAATCTCTATCTGTTGGTAAGAAAAACAAAACAAGAAAAGGTATTAAGACTTTATAAAAAAAAAAAAAAAGTAAAACTGTAATTTTGACCTTAAAGCACCATATTAAATTTATAAAGCCTTAAAAATAATACCTGGCTGATACAACATAAATAAATGTATATCAATAAGTAAACAAGCTAAAAATCAAAAGAAAAATCCACACAGTTCTGACCTCATTAATGAGCTCCGCCCTCTCTTCATCGCCACCTCCCATCCCTGGTTTCTTTGTCGCAGCTGGAGCCAATTTCGGTGCAACTTTTGCAACTGGGGGTTTCTGGGTAGCTGGTGGGAAGAATCAGGGATATTTTGAACATATTCTGTTCTTTTTTTCCCCAATGTATGCATAAATTAACCAATAAACCTAAAATCTGAGCTAACTAATCAAAATGGCCAGAGCACAGACCTTGATTGAGGGTCTTCTTAGGGAGTTTGTTGAGGGCTGATGTGGGAGGACTGGTCAAGGCATCCTGGCCTTGCCTCATGGCCACCGGGTCATACTCCCTCCCATCGTAGTTGGCATCAAAGAACTTCTTAAACCACTGAACGAACTCAAAGTTGTCCTGGAACTTCCCCTTGACCAGTTTGTCAACTGGAATAATCTGCAATGAAATAAACATCCCTTCAGACCTACTGATGGTTTCTATCACTGGTTAACAGATTTACTCTAGTTAGCAGTCACAGCTAAGCAGTTCTGAAGAGATCGAATCCTTTAGGCACTGGTACTTACTTTGTCAACCCCCATCTTTTTGAAACCAACTTGCAGAAGCTTGAAGTTGTGGATGTATTCATGCTCCAACTTGGCACCAAATTTGACTTTCTTCAGAGGGATTGAGCCAGGAAACAGCATGTCCATAAACTGGCAGTAGACGGCACCTTTTCAAAAACAAAACATTACAGTTTGTATTGTTGTCCGGTCAAGACGTTTTGGAAGACTGTAAAAAATCTGCATGAACACTTCCCTCCTTAACCTGCATGAAAACCAAAGTCCCAAACAATGATTTATCCTATTATTTTTTTGTTGTTGTAAAATCTGATTCTTTTGCGTAGTTGTTTGCATTCCAAAATACATCCGAATGTATGCGATCTCCAGTGCGCAGTAGAGGACGCAAGACATGACAAACAAGTGTGTTCTGTCTTTACTGAAGTAAACATGGATGGTAGAGCTGGAGCACATTTTGCAAACATTTCCTTCCAAACCTCAGCCACTAATTTAACAAAACAATATTCTCAAGAAGGTTCATTATCGGGAACAAACAATAAAAATGGGATCCGTGTTGTTCAGACTGTCATGAAAAGATCAGATACAGGCTGCATGTGGGCAAAAATAAATAAAATTGAGTTCGGGTCACTTGAAGCTGCTGTGTGAACACTGCCTCTGTCAATATTCTACTGCACAGTGTCCCTTTATAAAACACTGTTTATCCATCAACCAAGAATAATCACAGTTCATTTCAAAAGTAGAAAAAAAAAAAACTTAATGTACACCTAAAAAAGGACCTGAATAGCTGTTGAGCCAACATTGTGCTTCAGATAAAAGATCACCAATCAGGAAAAAAACAGTACAAAAATAATATCAATTTAAATTGAATATAATGAAATACCATCAGGAAGAACTGGAAAGAGAAGTTCAAACCCCATCAACACCTCTATTCAAGAACATAAATAGAGGGAGATGTAAGACACCATTTTAGCCGTTTAGCAGTTTTTACAGTTGGGTTTACTTCTACAAGAATTACAAGTAAATGCAGTGTTCCAGGCTGCACATAGAAGGGGGGAAATTTTTTCACAGTCTTCCCAAGGATCCGAAGACTTGACCCTGCTGGCTCCCTGCCCCTGTGCGCTGGGGTTCCCAGACTAGCTCTAGAGCTGACGGCTCAGTTCGAATACCCAGTGCGTTTCGACTACTTTCTGCACTGTAGTTGACCAAAATCCCGGACAATTTCGAAATTCCTCCCAAACACTTTGTTAGGTATGAAAAGTAGGACATGTGTAGGAAAAAGAGGTCGTTTGCTCACCCTACCATATAAACAATTTGATGTTTCAGTGAGTGAGTGCTTGTTGCTATGATGCGTCTTTGCTCAGCAGCTTCCCTCGTTCTAAACCAACTAATCAGCACACAGCTCATCTAAATATTCATTAGTATACCATAAAAGGAAGAAAACCTGTCGTTTCATTCTGGGGCTTTAAACTAGGCTTGCATTAGGGTTCATAGAACAGCAAATAGGCCATTTTGAGCCCAACCTACACCCTATTCAGAGACCTTAAGAACCAGCACCAAAAACCCTATACAATTATTCTATGACCCCTTTTAATCTTACCGGTACAATCTTGTTTTTGTACTTTCCTAAATTCAGCTTCTGCTGCAAAAAAAATTTATTTAGAAAAACTGTTATTACAGTTCTGTCTAGGAATGTGATTTTGATGAGGAAGAATCCCATTTTAGTGATCTACAAATGGAACACGGATTGTGCTTTTAATAAATGTTAAAATGGCCTGCCATAACCCACATCAAATAAACCTACGAATTAACTCGAGCAGCAATCTTATGCAACGTCATCTCCCTCTTTTGTAGCTGTAGCTGTCTTTTTGATAGTATCTCAAATTTGATTTTCGTTTCTACATTGAAATCTAATTCCAGTGTTGTGAAGTAGGGAATTCCTGTTGACAGTTAAATCGGTGTTCCACTGATAATGGCTTTTCAGACTTGTTATGCATGTGCTCAACTCTGGCTGAATCCCAACCTGACCCCTAAGCAGAAGCCCTTATCGATCAAGCGTCACTCCCAATGAAGTCAAACTCACAGCTGTGGAATTCGCCTTTATTGAAGTTGGGAGAACATAAAAAAATAGAATGGAACAGCCTCTTCCCTCCACTGGGAAAGGAAAGCATTTGTTGCTATGGCAACCTAGTGTTGCCCAATGTGCATAGCTGTAGCTGTGCAAGTCCACGTGAAGTCAAACATTTGCCCCATCATAAAACGGCTTCAAATAGTACCTTCTCTTTTGGGATCAAACGTGTCTATTTTCCCCTTTCCTTGGTGTGAAAAAGATGCAGAAAACCAGCAAAACACACATCTGCCTGCCAGTGCTTCCTCCACCATTAGGTCACAGTTACACCCGCAGGCAAATTTCCGTGAGTCTGCACAGAGTCCCTCGCTGTTTGAGGGCTGAAGGGTTCACTCATCCTACTCACTACGTGGTTTGAGAAGGCCCTCAATATGGTGGACACTCTGCAGGAATGCGCAAATGGAAGGTTAGTGCTCTGGGAAAGCATTTAGGAGGCAGTTTGGGATTAAGCCTCTGACTGGATGTACTCAGAGTTTATTAAACTAACTCCAAGCAGCCTTTGTGAAACCATAAACTCAGAGTTTCCTACCTTAGGCTAGATCAATTAAGAGTTGAGAAGTCCGAGTTTGTTAAACCTGCTTTATGAAACAGGCCTCTGGTGCGATCCTTTTAGAGGCCACAGGTCATCCAACACCTGTTTGATGTTCAACCAGAAGTGAACAAAGGAGGCAGCATTTAACCTCTATGCTCCTTGTGTCTGAAAGGTGTTGTACAAATAAAACTTGCCTTAACTTGCCTTATACTCACGCTGTAGCATGTGATTACATGCATTCTCTGCCCCTGAGGTCTAAAAATGAGTCACCGGACGGCTGATGGGCTTCAGCTCTGAAAAGATTCTCTCCAATCTTTGTTCAAGCAAGGACCAGAGGAAAGGTTTTGCACATCCATTGTTACATCCATGAAGTAAAGCAACATGAACATCGCAGAACTTTACATTGATTAAGAAAAACCTGGTTTAAATATACATTAACACTGCAAACATTTACCTTCTGAATCTAGTCCTCTTTTTTTAAGAACCTGATTCACCAGGCAATGAAATGAAAATAATAAACAAAAAATATATTATTTAGTGACGGTGGAACTGAGTTGGAAAGGAAGTGTTGTTTATCTGAAGGTTAACAGGTTCCTAGAAATAAAAGAAAACTCGGTGAAGCATTCCCTTTGTTTCATGTCAGCAACAATAATAAACTTCCAAACTAAAATAAGACTGATGGGTTCAAATGGTCATGAAAAAGAACTCCCCTGTAACGAGATGCTGAAAGATTAACCTATTTTCACATCCTTGTGAGAGATGAACGGATATAAAGACTGAAGGGGACTGTGGGAAAAATGGAGTGGTAACTAGAAAAGGAAAACGCATTAAAAACGATGATATACAAAACAGGCTTATTAACCTGCACATATTTAAAGCGAAATCTACGTGCAAAATATAAAGTGTTAGTTTATTTAAATAGATTATTTTTTATAATTCCATCTTCAATTCTACAAGATGCAGAAGATCTGGAAGAGGCCTCTTCTCTGCATGGTCTTCATCATCCAAATGTGGCATTCCCTTACTAGAAAAAGCATTTGAGATTCAGTTCACCTAATGTCATTTGGCTGTCACCTCATGTCAGCTTTTCTTTTACAAAAGAAAATAACTTGTAAAAGATGTCAAAACAAGGCTAAATGTTATTCCGCCCACAATATGGAACAAGCGTTCAGAAACGTCTTCTTTAACTTGGTCTTAGCAAGGCCTGAAAAAGCTTCACCCCAGCTTTAAAGTGGGTTAACTTCGTTCTTTCACTCTAAATAAGAGACATATTGACAAGTCAACCAGACTAATGTTGTTAAAACTCATTATAGAGTTCCTCTAAGACAGAGAACAAACAGGTTGCGATTAAAGTCCACCCACCATCTTACTAATGTTGATTTTAAACACCTATTACAGTGAATCACCATTTCTTACCTGTGCACAGCATTTCTATCTTTGTGAGGTTCATCTGGAGAGACTCGTTGATCCACACCAGCATATCATGTCGACTTAAGTTGTCGCTGGTCACTGACGTTGCGTACACATTCACAGCCATTGTGGCTCACCTACAGACAGATAAGACAGTGGCTTACTGAATTCGTAAGGAGCTCTGCTTAAGAGAAATAAATGTGATGACAGTGCTGATCTAAAGGCGTGGCACAAATTCAGCAGCCACAAGGATAAGGTAACATTCATAACAGATTCAAAACACTCAGCTCAACAAACCAAAACCCTTTCAAGTCCTTCTCTAATAGGAGGTCATTTGACTATCAAAGCAACATGAACCATTAACCGTGCAGGATCATCTCCTGCTGATGGATATCATGGACACATTTCCGTTTCCGTGCAGTAGGACAGACTGGGAGCAATGGCACAAGAAGGTGCAAGTGAACAAAGCGACAATAGGATAGGGGTATAGCATTTTTTTTTTATTAAATACACAATACAATACTGTAAATAATTGCAGCGATAGAGTTTAAATGACCAACTCCAGACAATAGAATGGGAAGGACTAATATTTAACCCTATTCCCTCTATAGCCTGAGGATGATCAGATGTAACAATTTCCTGCAATTAAACACCACCCGTCAGGTAGAGCATGCTCTTGCATTGCAGCATGCCAATATCTGCCATTTAGAAATACATTGTCTAATATAATCTTAATTCCAAACAGTGCTTCACATAATCAAACCGTCACGCTGTATTCAGAGGATGGTGCATTTTTTTTTGTTTCTCTGTAGTATTTTAAATTCTAGAGCCACAATGACTAACTTTTTTTTTTTTTACTAAATCTAGTTGACAAGCAAACAGTGACTCCAGTTTAGTAACTGATTTCACTAAAGCATCAGTTAAACAGCTGATAGAACACTGACATCACTATGTGCAAATTTGCATCAAGAGCGATTAACAGATCCGATTATGCTGGCAAATTTTTAAACCAGATGTGGACAACAGTCAGTGTGATGGTATCAAAGTGGGCACAGCTTCCATTACTTGTCATATCAGAAGGTTAGTGATTAATCAGTAACTGTGTTATCCCTTCAAACGTGTTTGCCACAAGTGGTTAGTTTCACAAAGCTTTAATTTAACTATTGTTTTAAATACACCTTAATGTGCACCTACATCTTTCTATTAGCCAATCACTCTGCAGCACATACATATTTCTATTATTAACTGAAGCCGAGAAGCAATGGTAGTACTATGGAAAATTTTTTATGGTTTCCAAAGATTTGTGAAATATATGGCATAGGTAAATATTGTTTTTCAGCCATAACAAAAAATATTGGCTCATATTTTCATATCAATGCACTTCTAGTTTGAAGTCGTTAATTCAATAAAATAAGTAACAATACCAAGTACCCTTTTCCCTTTATTTGTACAAAATGATAAACCTATTAAATATCCTTTTTTTTTTAAGTGAAAGGACCCAGTGGTTATAGTAAAACTGGACAGATACTTTCCCGTTTTATTTTTGATGGGAAGGATACAGTCTGTTTCATTACAGAGCTACATCATCATCCTGGACATCATCCTGGAGGACATAAACAACTTCAATTATAGAGGATGGAGTTAAGCCTGTCTTTCAATGTTTGTACTCTAAATTTATGCCCTCTTTCAGCTTTTTTTAAGATGAAACCAGCTCAGAACATAGGTCTGCTTAACCGTTTCTTTCCTAGACAGTCACACATGAAGCTTGTTTATTAAGTGTTTGCTATTCTAGAAAGTATCTATGGATCAGTGCAGCTATGTTCCTTTTGTTTGTCCAATTCTGTCCTCTAGAACCTCCATTCGGCCTCAATAGAAGCCCACTCACAATGAGCCTGTTTCTGTTGGAGGATTTTTCCTGTTTAAGAACTGGTGTAAAGGAATTGCAGCAGAGCCAGTGACACAATGCAAGGGAACACATGCTCATCCAGGAGGAGTGGATCCTACAGAGTAAATGACTCAATACAATCAGTTGATAAAAGAAATAAAAATAAAATGACATGTATTGTGATTTGACAGTATTTACCTAATATACATTTTAAACAATTAAACTAATATCAAACCTTTTAGGCGTAAAAATTCTACAAATTCTTCTACAAAGGTAAGCATAAGTATGATATTTACAAGAGATGAACTACTTGCAAAAAACAAAATTGGGGCGGATCATTTGCAGTTTAGTGATACAAAAAAAAAATCATTGTTAATCCAACATTGTTCTGCTGTTGAATTTCTACCCATATAAATAAACATTTCTGATTGAGATTAAACGAATTATCTGTAGCATTGTTTTTTTTTTATCTTTTTCTTTTAAATAATTCATATCAACCGTTGTCCACTTGTATCTGACTCACCAGGGCGCATGATAAGCCAGAACTGCACAGGCCCTACGCTTTACAAACAGACTGCTAGCTAATTACTATGTTTTCACTGCCAGCTCCATTAAATGGTATAAGTAAACTGAAAACGGTTTGATTTAGGTTAAAACTGGTGTTCCTGGTGGGATACTTAAGATCGGGGAAACCATTAGCCAAACGCGTTAGAAACTTGAAAGCTAACGTTAGCAGCAGTTAGCTACTTAAACAAGCTACATGGATTTTAAACCGGAATTATCTGAAGATATTTTCTTGTCAAATCTCGTTTTTCAGACGGCTATTAAACCTCTAGGTGTATCCAAGACACGTTTCCGGGACCGGTTTAGGATTTCTAGTCCAGCTCTCCTAGCATGAAAGCAGTTTCCCCGCCCTGAACTAGAGCCTCCCAGACGGAGCACCGCCTTGTTAGCTTCTGTTAACCTGGACCCGTTGATGAACCTGGGCCTAGATACGGAAACCGTTAATGATTTGTTGAAACGTGAATATAGAAAATGAAACTTAATTTAGTTGAACCAATTAGCTCAGCATTAACCAGGATCACCCTCGGCGTGCAGTAAGCCGCCAGTTAGCATTTTAGCTCTTCATCTCTGTTAATCTAGCGGCCTCTTCATATCACCGTTTTACAAAGTTAACACTTAAACTCACCAATAAATGATCACAATATATTCTTCTGTTGACTCGGGGGGTCTTCAGTTCTATCTGTTGTGGTTCAGAGCCACAACAAAAGCTAAATACTTGCTTGTTGATCGTCGTTGGTAGTTCTGCTTTTTTTTAAGCAGTTGTACGTTCAATCTACCGGCAGCGGAAGAGCACGGCGGAAGATCGCAATAGATGACGTCAAGACGTAACACGTCCTTCTGTTTTTTTTCTTCTCCAACTTTCATGATTGTATTTGATGTATTCTTGCACTTTAATAAAAAATATAACTTTTTTGTAACACACCAGACTCCAGTCATCTCATCAAGTCATCATGTTCAGATTGGACTCGCTTGTTGAGATGAATGGAGTCTGGTGTGCCATTGCTTGGTTGGAAGAAAAACCTGCAGCCACACTGCCCTTTATGGAACCAGTTTGACACCTGTGATCTAAGGGCACATTCTCTGCTGATTGTATTCTATGTAAATTGATATTAGCTGAAGTATTTTAGTCTTACTGATGAATGTGAGGCATGAGGCGCTGCTGTATCTCAGATTGCTAGAAAGTGAGAATGGTGAGAACAGCAGAGAAGATCAGGGCTCCTCTCCCCTCCATAAAAGACATTTCATCCCAGCTCTGTGTCCCAAGCCAGTTACATCCTCAATGACCCCTCACACCCCCATCATGGACTGTTCTCCCTGCTGCCCTCTGGGAAATGGTTTCACAGCATCCAATGCAGGTCCAGCAGATTCTGCAACAGTTTCTTCCCCACTGCCACCAGACCGCTGAACAAAAAAAATAAAAAACTAAATCATGTCACAACCTCTGCATCACAGCAAAGCAAAAATACTCCATATATATATATATATATAAATATTAATGTTCTGAATTTCCATCTTGCACCATATTGGCTCTCCCAAACTTCACATTTGATCACTTCTGAACTTCATGGCTAGGAAATGTTCATTTTCTGTGTGGAAAGCTGTACTAAACAAAATTTGGTTTTTTATTCTCTATACTCATTAGACTTCTGACAACTTTTACTGTCATTTTATATACACAGTATACAAAATGACAGTAAAAGCTGTCAAGTCTAATGATGCAAACAAAACTAGTAAATTTCCTTGTGAAACACCTTCAAATGTTTGTTTACTGAAATATAAATGAGAAATGGAAAACAGTGAATTTGATATACATTGTTTTAATATTTATTCTATCACTTTTGACATACGTAATTAAAATAAGGTCAGTAGATAAAAAGAGCAGAACACAACTCCTATAATACAGAAATAGCTGAACCTTCAGAAACAATTGCAGACCCACATGCATTAATCCCTTTAAGGTAACGTGCAAAAGTGTAAAAAGAACTCCGCTCATGATTCACAAAACATTCAAAGATCCAGCAAGACGACAATCACAGTCACATTAAGAATTTTCAAAGTAAACGTAAAAGGAAAAAGAGAAAAAAAAAAGTATGAAATGTAAACTTTGTACCATCATATCACTTTTATTAAAAGCAGACCAGTTCTTACTGTTACAATAACGACATCTTAAAAAAAAAACATATTTAATACAAAAAGGAACTAAAAATGCTGTGTTTTTTTATAATTACTGGATGTACTCTTAAAAAAAAGTAACATTAAAAAGTATTAGTTACTCTTGATTATTCAGTATTAAGGAATACTAACTATTAGACTGCATGTTTGGCCCACATATTTGGTCCAATGGGAATTAAATCCACTTAAGGCTTAAATTCCTTAAATTCCAGTGTTTTTGTTTGTAGCACAACTAACAGAAGGAAATAAGGAGGTAGATACATTTTTGGGATATTTTGGGCAGTGGTTACAAAAAACCCTTCAAACACTTAGGAATTAGTACTGATGTATGAACTGGTGTGGGCACGAATACCGAAACACAGGAAACTGGTTGTCAAAGGTGACCACTAAGGATTAAAAGATTGCTTAAGGCACTGCAGGTTTAGATGACTCAGCAGCAGGTTAAAAATCAGGCAATAGTTGTCCCTTACTATCATGATTGCAGATTCAATAGATTTTTTTTTTCATGATTAAACGAAAATATGAACCAAACTCTGAAGTTCTCCCCTTTAAAATAGGCAAAACATTCTAAAAAAAGCAATCATAAAACTCAATGTTTTCTACAACTGCAGCAGCAGCAACAGTCTATTAAAATACTGAACTAGTTTAGATTCATATCTTCGAAAAAATATTTAAAAATATCTCAGTAAGTTCACACTGAATAACGTAACACCACAGGATGCTGGATCATTTTTAAGAAACTAATAAAAATTCCCAATGAGGTTCCTGAGTAAAATGGCTGCATATCAGAGGCAGCATAACAATCCATTGCACAAAATAAGCAGATAGTGTTGTTAAAGGTAGCACCAGTTGGGATGCTTAGGGCCATATGATTTTTGTGATGTGGAAAATAAAATGGAATTTCACAGAAATCACTCTTTGGGCAAGAAGTATCATGCATGTAAGGTCTATTGTCCACTGCCTGCTCCCGTATATATATATTTACGCGGTCTGGGCTCTTGTCTCCACACCAGTGAGGTTGGAAGCCCCCCTAGGACCTCCGTATGGGAGGCTGTGTGCCTATGAAATCCCTCAATCCCATCCAAGTTCCCTTATCTCAGCTGCTGCAGGTCTGGGGAGTTAGGAGACGAGGAGGTGGCGGAGGAGCTGGAGGTGGAGACATCCGGCATGGCTACAGGAGGCAGTTCCTCACAGGCGAAGTACTCCTTAAGGGGGGCGAAGAGGTGGCGGATAACTGGTACGCTCCACGCCTTGCCCAGCAGCTTCTGTCTCTGCTGTCGGTTCATGTTCCTTGCATCGGTGTAATGTTTGGGGAAACCAAAAATTCTGGGGAGAAAAAAAACAAACAAAAAACATCTGCCTCTGCTCACCACTGTTTAATCCATCGTTTCATAGGAATATATTGATCATTTGATACGAGGGGAAAGGAAAACTAATTCTGGAGACTCCGGAAGAAAAGGTATTGAGACACGTACTTTTCCACCTCAGTGATCCAGAGGATGTCTTCTTTTCCTTTATCCATGACAGGCAGCAAAGAAACATTTTTCCCCTGCTTCAGGGAGTTTGATTTTGTTGTGATTGTTCTCACTTTGGTTACCTGGAAATAACATTTCCAACAGTGGTGAGTTTTGCACTGTATTAAACAGGCACACAGCTTCTGATGAGATCACACTATTAAATATGAGCAGCAGATTTATTTACTCACCCTGGCTTCCCTGCCAAGCTCTAAACACTCCTGGAGGTTCAACTTGTCCTTCTGGGAGGCTGTGATGGGCCTGATGAGGCAGGACACAGAACATATGAACATTTTTATTTTTTTTAAATCACCCATTTTTAATTTGACAAACAAAACAGGAAGAAAACAAAGGCCTCCTTTTGTTCAATGAGTCCCACAGTGCAAAACCTTTTAATCAGACAGGCAAAGGAAAAGAAGAATTTAAGCCTCATCAGCTAAAACTAACAGATTCTTGAACTGGGGGTGGAACACACATGTTGACTTTTCTCTGTCCTAAGTGGCATTTTCCCAACAGACAGATTTTTTGTGTCTTAAATGCTTTAACACTAGAACTCCCAAAGCGTCATTTTGACGGTTCTGAGATTTTAAAGAGAAAAAACTTTATTTACATTAATCATATGTTGGTCATTTTAACTGACTTTTCCTGTCTCAATATTTGTTTAATTTTCACATAGTTGTTCTAATAAAATAAACAAGTAAAAATAAATATTGTTCATTTAACCTCAATCTCCCACATCCGTCATTTTGACAGCTCTATAAGTTCCATTGTAAATTCTTCCCACTAAGATTGAATGCAGAAAAATGCGTTTCGGTATAAATCTAACAGCTAAACAGGCTTTAGAAAAGCTTCAAAATATTGATGATAGAGATTCGGGGCGGACAGGGAGAGACCGATGAGGTGGGTAGGAAGAAGCTCAGATTCTGACAGCGAGTCTGAGGATGTTTACCCACCAATAGAAAAACGCAGACGTATCAGTGACCCATCAGACAATAAGGAAACTTTTGTTCAATTTGTGTAATTATAGAGATTACAGCAGAGATTGACGGATACAGGTTTATCAAGGCCGATTGCAATATACATTATGTGGTACCGATATTCTCAGGCCAATATTTTGAGCTGGCATTGGTTGCTCTTCCTCCAGCTACATGATAAAAGAAAAAAAAAGACAAATGCTACACAGATCTCAATTCAATCAAAAAAACAAAGATGTATTAAATCAAACAAAACATCAGCAATTTAAAGCAAAGGTAGGGGAGAGGCAATGCATTCTCTCTACATGATCCCAAGTCATGGCTGCTGAAGGCAAATGTGTGGATGCATCAGTTTATATCAATACGGGACAAACAGTCAAACCAGGGGTTGACGTTAAGGATTTTTTGCCCTTCGGGCAAGTGGCTTTTACATTTCATTTGCCCAGAAACAATTTTTACTTGCCCAGTATAATGTTTGATAAATATAGTTCCTAATACTAATTTTTGTATGTATGTATATATATATATATATATATATATATATATATATATATATATATATATATATATATATATATATATATATTTGATAGAATTACTGCTCTAAGTGGGTTGCTCTGTCAACTAAAGGCATGTTTTACAGTCACTATACTCCAGTTAATAATCGATTACCAAATTAGATGAAATTATTTTAATGATCGCTTAATCATGATTAATCAGATTAATTGTGTCAGCCCCCAAGCAGACATTTGTGGATGCATGCCCACATGGATCGTCACCCGATGTCACTGCAGACTCAGGTCCTTCTAACACATAACAGTTATATAATGTAAGTTAGATTAGTTTGTGCATTTTTTATGAGACATTTATCAAAAATGGAAAGTGATAAAAATGCCTTGTGGGATCACGGCTATTTCTTGGGATTTTTAAATATTCCCACCCCATTATTCCCAATCAAGCCACAAAAGATTTCTGGAGGATTTTTAAGAGGAAGATCTGACTAAAAATAAATAAATAATAACATCTAGTAAAAGAACGAAATGCAAACTAGTAAAAAACATCAAAGCAAAACATAACAGGAAAATTGTTATAACACAGTAATAGGTCTCACCGGCTCATTCCAGGAATGTTTCCCCAGAAGTATCGAGCTCTGTTTGCGGGGCTCACTTTCACTGCGTCCACCAGCACAGGGTTACACTGTTGCACAGAATCACAAGACAACAGCAATCAGCGCCTTAAATGTTCCACCTGGTTCAACAACTTGAGTAAAAAACTAATCTCAGAAGTGAAGTGGGTGCCAACCTCTAGGAAACGGCAAATGTTGACTTTGTCGTGTGTGTTCATGAAGACGACGTTCTCAAAGAGCCAGAAGAAAGGCCGAGGGTCGTCCTCTTTGGGCTTTAGCAGCTGCAGGATGCGGTAATAATCAAAAAAGAGTCTGCCGGTGCCTTCTGTCATACAGAAAGACAAAAAAACTAAATCATTCGGATGAGAGAAAGATTTCTGGTGCCTTATTGCTTGTTCATAAATGGACCTTTTTATAATCTTTTTTTATAATAAGTCGAATTGAACTAAAGAAAGGAATCTTTTTCTGTTATTTTACGTGAGATAAAAACCTTTGGAATTAATGTGTCTGAGTGACTTGATTGAACAGACTTTAAAATGCCTCTAGTTGAGGTTTGCTTTGAATTAGCACTATAGAAATAAACTGAATTAAAATACATGATACAAAATGCAAAAATACAGCAAAAAAACTGTTAGCACTGAATCTTGTAAATTCACAAAGAAAGTGATGCCATATAACAGGATATTTTACTTACAGGTAGGGGTGTAAATAATAATCGTTTTGTACCGATGCATCGATCCAACAGTCGACGATACGATGCATCGATACGTCCGCAAGAGAATCGATTCATGTTTTTTTTTCCTCCGGTCTATTTTTATCCATTTGCTCCTGGGCGTTATTCTCCCTCCCGTGCTGCGGTGGCGCTAAACCTATTTTGCCCTCCTACCTCGCTTCCTGGTTATACTCCTACAGCAGTGTGTTGCAGTGAGCTTGACAGACATTTTTGATTTATGCTCAATATTGAAGCGTGGTCTGTGCTACACGCTGTGGGTCTAGATACGGCCGAGGCGGCGAGGAAGTGGGGGCAATTTTAGTCCGACGACAGAGGGACATGAGGGCCAAAAAGGGCGGAGATCCAGGTGGAAAAAGGGTCCCAGCGCACCTCACTCTTCTAGCTGGTCAAACTTCACGAGTTGTTTTCCGCAATTTCGGCCTCCTGTCTGTGGCACTGTTTGCGCACAGCTACAATTTGGGAGAGGTGCATCGGAGCGTCTGCGGAGGGGGCGGGGACGTCTGGAGCCGAGGAATTGCATCGCACTCATTACACGATTATGTGCAGTATTTTTTGATGCAACTTTTCTACTTCTGTTATTTGCTGTTGTTTCTAAAAAAAAATAAAATGCATAACGATATTACAGCTTTTATTGATTTAGTTCAAACTTGAAACTTTGTTTAGCCTGTAAGGTGTATAAAGATACTGAATCGAATCGCCATGATGGGTGTGATTTACACCCCTACTTACAGGCTTAAAAAAAAACAAAAAAAAACACAGCTACGTACCATAAAGGCCTTTCCTGAGTGGATTTACAATGGAGAGGTCGTTACACGGGCTCCCCCCTATCAGCAAGTCAAACGGACCCCACTTCTGGATCTGAATAAACAAAGCAGGTGAAATGAGACACTTCTTGATCCCCATTTTAAAATGAGGCTGGTCATATTCAGGAAACAGGAAGAAAGCAGAGGGAGGTGTAACAAACCACATCATCTGAGATTAATCGAACATCTCCAACATGAATGATCTTCCCATCATGGTTGATGCTTGCCACAGCAATGGAATCCTCACAAATCTCGGAGGCGACGTATTTTTCCACCTTAAAGCCAAGATCTTTCAGCACCAGGTAGCCTGTGAAGGTGAAAAGTTGGCACTTTTTTCCTGATTTCTCGCAGATCTAATGACATCTCACATTTCCTCACTTTCCTTGATGAGCCTTTGGCTGGTTCCCCTTTTTAAACATCAAACTTTACACTACAATATTCTTTCTGTCATGATTTGTGGACATTAAGGTCTAACGTGAAGCGTCATCTCCTGGTCAGACCCTGTAATTCAGTGAAAGGGTGGAGTAACGATAAAAAAAAAATATGCTGGGTTAATGGAGGGGATTTTCCTGGGAGTTGCAGGGGAGTCAGCTTCCATTTGGCTGGTGTTTGACTGGGAAGGGGCATTTTGAATGGCTGCTACTGTAAATAAGATGTTAAGCATACAGAAGTCAATAGAAAAAGCCAGACGCAGCTTTATTCGGGGCAAATATATGTCCAAATGTGGGAATTCGGGACATTCGTTCCTGCTGTTAGCATGTTCTTGTTCTAAATGAAATTAGCCTCTTATTCTTTCATTTCCAACTTTGACTTCTCCCTCTGGCGGTTAGGAAAAATCCACAGAAAAGCTGCACCTTCTTATAAGCTAAATGGTTTTAAAGTGTGGGGGAAAAAGTAGTGGCTGATATTCCAGAAAATACGGTAAGTGGCATTCCATTTCTAATCCATGGAATTAACTATTACAAGGACACAGTTAGCACGTTGTAGCTACGACAGCTTGAACTTTCCAAAGTAGGCTGTCTTCCTGTTTAGAAGGGTGTAAGTGGAAATTTTTTTTATATATATATATATATATATATATATATATATATATATATATATATATATATATATATATATACACACTTTAGAGGTCTTATGCTGATGCTGGATGAACAAACCTCTGCTCTAGCTAATCCCAAAGCTGTTCTATTGGGTTGAAGTCAACAATCTGCCCAAACAAAGTAGGGAAACGTTCATATTCTGAAGCATTCAGAGCTCCTTTCAATGCGACCAAAGAGCCAAGCACAGCTCCTGAACAACAACAACAACAACCCAACAGCATAATTTCCTCTGCAACTAACTTTATATTTGCTCCAATGAATCAGAAAAATACAAATAAGTAGAGAGCTCTAAATAAAATTCATAGCTTAATTCCCAAGTCAACACTTGGAAACTGAAACTCAGTGGATGTGTTTTAGTTTTGATCTCTCTTCCAAGAGTGCTTTGACAGTCGAGCACAGAGAAGAAAAGCACAGAAAGCATGTTTGATTGTGGAGAGTTTGGATGGAGTGAAGAGTGGAAGAAAAACACCAGCAGTCCTAACAGACAGTAACTAGTTGAGAGAAACAGAACAACCGTGCAGAAGCCTTTGGAGCTGGACTCTTACCCGTCCCGATGCCATCGAACAGGGACAGAACTCGGAGAGGTCTGCGGAGTTTGGTGGGAATGGATGGGTAGACACGATGAGGCTCCTAAGTCAACAGAACACTGAGTTAATAAAACATTAATTTCCCCTCTCCTATTTCCCCTGTCCCCCAGAGGCCCTGGGAAACCTGTTAAAGTGCCTGACATCATGGACTCTAAAAAAAATCAGGATATATTAAAGGAACTAGAGGCACTATGAGGAAAGGAGACTAAACCAGGGACACGACTGGCGCTGCGGGGAGCATGCAGCACCAGCCAAGCCGGCATGGAGCACAGAAAGGCTTTACGACAGACAGTATTCATAGCGCCTCACTGGTGATGCTGCAAAGCCTCGAGACCACCACACATATTTTATGACAGCAACAGGGACCACATCTGGCGACAGAGGAACTAACTAATGTTTATTTTAGCTTTATAGTGCACTGACAGAAATGTTTGACACTGCGTCAAACACAGGTTATAATGCCATGACCCTTCGACACTCTGTGCTCCAGTTGTTCATCTGCTCTGTTCTGTAGCTACAAACTAGAAAGCAGCTTGGCTTGATTGACTTTGATGAGTTGGAAAAAAATGATTTTATTAATAGAAAAAAAATGTAAGCAAGAAAGTCCAACTCAAAGCAACATCTGTGCAGTCATTTGATCATGATTATGATCCACTGCAGTCATATGCAGTTCTTATTTAGAGCTGCAAAACCCAGCATACAGATGGGCAACAGCATTCGGAACATTAAACACATGCAAAAGCATGATTGAGCCCATTTCTCATCGTGCACACTGTTTAAAAGTAGCCGTTTGCATGACTCATACAAGCTTACTTTCCAAAAGCACATTTGCAATTTTTTAATATTATTATTATTATTTTTTTTTATTATTATTTTTTTTATATATATACTCTAATAATCCCAAGAGGGAAATTACTTCTCTGCATTTAACCCATCCCCTTGGGGAGCAGTGGGGACAGTGGGAGTGGGGGATCGAACTCACAACCGCAGGATTCAAAGCCCTAAGGCCTAATCACTAGGCCACCACTCCCCAAAAATGAACACTCTGCATTTAACTGCCATTGTGCGGCGCCCGGGAAGCAGTGTAGGTTTAGGAGTCTTGCTCAGGGACCCAGAGTGGCAGTCTGTGGGAGTGGGGCTCAAACTCAGAACCTGTGGAGTCTAAGCACAATGCCCTAGCTACTAGGCTGCCACTTAACCAAATATGTCAAACTTCCCACCGGTAAGTAAAAATGGGGACAAGCATGTAGGACAGCCTTATGTAAACATATCTCCAGAATGATTGACAATTAGAAGAACCACTTATTTTGACCAGTCACCAGGAAAAATAACTTATTTAGAAATAGAAGTACCTGTCCCTTATTTAGATAAAATGGAACGCACTTTGTCCCGTATTACTGTGAGAGTAAAAAAAGTCAACAAAAAGCTAAGGGGAAATGAAGAACAAGGACACGTTAGATATAAAACTTACGGTAAACTGGTTCCCGGGCTCCGTCCTGCTTTGAGGAGCTGACAACATAGATGTAATGCAGAATACCCTCATCCCATTGGTCAGGCCAAGTGTTGCTCACAGAAAAGATAGCGGGAGACAACATAGCAGCAGCACTCAAAGACAAACAACTCCTTACTGCTGCAAGAGCTCAGAGGAAATACAAGTGGAAAAAAAAATTTGGCTATTGCTACATAATGTGGAAACGAGCTAATGATGATTTTTTTTTTTAACTGTTTTACCACTGCAGCCTACAGTCATTGCATATAAGGCACAAATATGTTTACAAGTTTGTACAAGTTTGCTGTTGCACCAAAAATGGGCACTATTTATTTATCGTTTTATATTCATTTTTATAGTTTAATGTTAAGCAGGACAGGCTTAAGTTTAAAATACCGTAAATCACGGACTATAAAGCGCACCTGATTACAAGCCGCACGCTCTAATTTTAGAAAGAAAATCAATTTTGTACTTTTATAAGCCGCACCGGATTTTAAGCCGCAGGTTTCCCACATTGTATGAGATATTTACAAATAAAGATATTACACGTGAGCATTTTTTAACGTTTGATTTAATCCATATGATAAAAAAAACAAATACGGTACATATTATGAACGCTTTTTTTTTTTCAAACTACCTGTAACACATTTTAAAACACATGTGTCGGTAACACGCAAATAACGCTGCATGTGCCGGGACCTTTGAATGAACAACGCATTGAACAGAACATTGCAGCCGACCAGGAAAAGTCCTTAATCATTTTCTTCTTCCTCCTGGGCCCTCATGCTGTCCATCACGAGCAGTGTTTTTTTTTTTTGATGAAAAAAATCCCCCCGGACGCTTGCCATAGCACTCCGTAAGCCATTCCTTCATTAGGCTTTCTTCCATCCAGCCTTTCTTATTAACTTTCACCACGATTTATTTTGGGATTTTTTCCTTTGGCATTGTCAGCCGCTTAAAAATCACCATGGGTGGAAGCTTTAGTCCGGATGCTGTGCAGCTCAGAACACAGGTGAAGTGCGTCCTCTCGTGACCCGTGGTTTTTACTGAGATGGACGGGTCACCTTTTTTATTTACAGTCCGCATGAGAGGCATGTCATAAATCAAAGGTACTTCATCCATGTTTATAATTTCATTTGGCCCGATGGAATGCTCCGCTAACTTTGTTTGGGTGAAAGTACGGAAGAGAGCGAGTTTTTCCTCATAGTCGGGAGGGAGCTGCTGACACAATGTCGTGCGCGCCCGGACCACCAGGCCTTTTCGTTTCATAAATCTGAAACACCACGATGGCCCACCTCTGAAATCTTGAATTTTCATGTCGGTGGCTATTTCTTTAGCCTTCAGCCTGATCTGCACGGTGGATACACCGTGCAGATCAGGCTGTGACAGTGTATTATAGGCCGCAGTGTTCAAACAGTGGGAAAAAAGTAGCGGCTTATAGTCCGGAATTTACGGTACCTATTTTATTCAGCAAAGTTTGTTTATTATATTAATATTAAAGTGAATTGCTGGATAATTTGTTTTCCATGTGCTCATATGTAACTAATTCAATGCTGATTTGAGTCAAATGGTAAAAAAAAGAAAGAATCACTATGCCAGGAGGGGTAAAAGCAATCGGGTCAGCTGGCACGCACATGAGGTGTCCTTTTTTTTTTTTTTTTTTTCCCCAGGGAGCTGGCAACCCTAAGGTTGATGCTACAGTCACCACTTCCTCCAACCCAATCACAATCGTGGACCCTGGCACGCCGTCACAAAGCGCCACCTTCTCAAACCACAAAACAGAGAATGTGAAGATACCGCAGCAGGCAATATTTTGGTTTTAGAAGGTCAGACAGAAACCAAACCACAGTGATTTTGTAAAATTTGCAAGGAACCAGTAAAAACAAAGTCTGGTAACGCAACCAACTTGTTTTATCGGGTAAGCCGCTCAACATCGACGGAGGAATCTTCAGGAACTTCTGTTAAAACAAAGCAGGCAAAACTAGCTAAACTGGGCTTCCTTCTTTGTGATAAAAACAACAAAGCGTCCAAGTGGCATAAGGACATCAATCATACAGTAACATGGTTCATAGTGATGGATATGCTGCAGGTGTAAAGCCTGGCTTTAAACCGCTGCTCGCCACTCTTGATCTGCGATATGAAGTTCCAAGCTGCAAGTTTTTCTCCAACTCAGCGATCCCTTGGACGCTGATTTCTGAAGTTAGTGCAGGGAATCTTTGCAAAATGAGCTGCAGTCTGCATCTCACTATGCCACAAGAATTTCTCAATAAATAAGGAGGGCGCTGTAACTGTTTAAAGATTGGATGAATACTCACAAACTCCATGGCGCTGGTGTTGGCGAATAACTCTTGAACACGAAATCTCCAGTCATCCCTGGGAACCAGAGCACCATGTGGCTGGTGAGGCTGACAGAGGTAGCAGACCCATGGGTCCACGACCTTAAGTGAGTCAAAGGTCCCTGGGCCGGCAAGGATGTTCAGACAGTCTTCACAGTAAGACCTGAAAATCAAACAGCAGATAAACCAGATGTGTAAAGGGAAATAAACTAAGGCTATGTTCACACTGCAGCCTGAAGTGACCCAAATCCAATTCTTTTTGCCCATATGCGACAAGGATCTTATCTTTTAATCGCTATCTGAACAACACAGATCCGATTTTTTCCAACCCGACCCAGGCCACTTGGCTATGTGTTCCTGAATATGATACGAATCTGATCTTTTCAAATGCGACCTGTGTATGAATGGCCAGGTCGGATTCATCCGACCTGAATATGCTATTATACTATTATGCGTCTTGCTACGCAGAAGTGGCAAGAAAAACAACAACCCTGGCAGATGATGATGCAGGGAGTAGTATTTATGTTAAACCATCTTGAAAAGATTGAGTTTTTATGGTTGGAAAAGTTCGCTAGATGCGCACCGGCACTACCATCCATGTTTACTTCCGTAAACACAGAGCACGCTGGCCTGTGACGTCATTGCGTCCTCGACTGCGCATGCGGGACACTTGCGTTGTATGACTGCAGTTCACACAGGAGATCACATACAAGTCGCATTTGGAAATATGAACAGCAACGCAAAAAAAAATCGGATTTCGCAAAAAAATCGGAATTGAGCATGTGAACGTAGCCTTTATCCATGGGCTACAGGCTTAAGAAAGAAGGAATACAAACCAACCTGTGGCAGCCATCATGCCCACATAGTATGACCTCCATCCCATAGCAACAGATGGTACAGTAGGACTGGTATCCGTCTTCATCATAGCGATACAGGGTCTCTGTGAAGTTATCCTGCAGGCGGAAAGAGATAACAACAGGACATGTAACGGGTTACAGATTTAGCCTGGACTGATTGGGACTGGTGTTTCACCATGCATTAATTTCTTTTTCCTCTTAAAAAGAATTATTGATTGTCAAATATAGACTCCACATATCTAGAAGGTTCCTCCCTAAAATCAAACCTTTTTTTAATCCATGAAAATGATCAGCTGATCTCCAGACTTTCTGAAGGTCAGTCACACTTTCCAATTATCTTTTTCTTCCACTTTGTTTGAAAAAGCAAAAAACTGACCATAAAATTCTCCAGCTAGAAAATAGTTCTCTATTTGGCATTTTTGCTAATTACGCACAAAAATGAAAAATCAGTTTGACCATATCTATGTGGTAATATCTACTGTATGACACAGGAGACCAATTTCAGTAGCAACACGGTGAATCCTGAAGAGCTACAGGACCCTCCACACTTCCTGGTTAAGATCGTAGCTTTACATACATCATTGAGGAGGATAAGCTCTCTCTTGTCAGCTTCAGCAAACGTTACTCTGACCTGAGAGTACCGGCTGTTCCAATATATTCTGGGATTTGCTGTTTTAGCAATCTCTTCATACTCTAAAGCTAGATGTAATATACGTTTTTTTTTTTTTTTTTTTTTATAGAAAAATAATCACACAACTGCAACACAAAGAGAGACAGGTTGGCCCATTTCTTACTTTACACTTCAAGCAGAGGCCGCCTTTGAAAAGGGGATGGAAAATATCGATGTCCTTGGTCCCACAACACAAACAGAAATCTGCATGGCAGGTTGAAAAAGATGAGACGAAAATTATTAAGGTATATCTTACTTAGACAAAAAAAATAATAATTGAAAAATTAAGACGAGCTGAACAATGACAAGTCTAAATGTGCACATTTGCATTTAGAAGTCTCACCTTCAATGTCGAGTTGTGATTCCATGATTATCTTGATAACCATCTCTGTAAAGAGTTTGTTTGGTCAGTAATGAATAAAAACAGACAGCAATTTTTTTGGTTTGCAGTAATTTAAAACACAGCAAAAAGGACCCTGTTTGGATGGCTGTTTTAGCTCAGTTAGCTGCTCGGGGCTATCGGAAAGCTCCAGAACTTTATTCATTATTACTTCATTTGAAACAAAACGCTTTGTTTATAAAGCAGGAGAGCAACTCTTTCTGCAGATTTGTTCTTTACAGTTCTGATTAACTGTGCAAATAAAACACATTAATGCCAAATTAACAACAAAACAAATAAGGGTTAATTTTAACCAAGAGCTTTAGCTCAGTTATCTTTTCACAAAGATCCTTTGAAGAGTAAGATGAAACAGCTGCTAACCATGAAGCTGTGATCCAGGGAGAGTTAAAAGTACATTATTATGTTCTTTATAATTGAACAATGTGGTTTTAATTTAAAGATAAAATACACACTTGGACACAAATAAAGCAGCAGTACCATTTCAAGAAGAGCGGGAGGTTAAAACATACCACCCATCTTCTGAGCATACTGTGCTTATTTACCCGTTTCCTGCATTTCAATACTAAATAAACTCATGTCACTTATATAAAGCCGTAGAACATAAATCTTTTCCTATTTTGTCATCATAAGTTGGTGTTTTATATTTAAATTCAAATTGTTTTATGTTTGTGTACGCTTTTATCTAGTAACTCATTCCATAGCTTAACACCACAGTTAGAAATACTCAATCCTTTGCTCTATGTTCTAATTTTGCATGAAATTATTTTGACTCTTTGGTTAAAAAAAAAAAAAAAAAAAAAAAAAAAAAAGGCTCTTTCACAGGGTTCCTACAGCATAAGGCAAGTTAAATTCAAGACTTTTTAAGACCTTTTAATGCCACTTGAAATAAAAATTTAAGACCAAATTCACAAGAAACAAGAAAAACCTGCTTGCGACAACTTAACCCAAAGGTTTATTTTAACATAAACCACTGCACTAATGTTTCAAATTTTGAAAAACTTCCCATACAGGAAGAAAGCTAAAAACACACAAATGACATATATATTTTAATAATTATTTAACGTAATTCACAAACTTTGCTTTAGCAAGGAACAAAACAAATCAGCTTTAAAGCCACAACATAACCAGTGCTAAGTCTTTTTTGCAGCTATTTTTCTTTGTATCGTTTTCTTAGTACGTTTGATTTGGTGATAAGTGGAGGCGTTGCAGAGACAAGGGTGGAACAAAACCGAGAAATACCGGCTGGTTCTCGGTAACTCCATTTGACGCTTTGTGTTTGGTGCTTCGCATGTGCGACTCCACTGCCTTAATTTCCATCGTTCTGAGCTTGAATCGCTTCTTGCACAAAATAAACTGTGCCTCATGTATGTTCCCTGGTTTTAGCCATGGAGAAAACTCTTGGCTGGATAGACAATTTTGGTTACATTTACATTTGCTCATATTTTCCAGACAAAAAGTAAATGGTGCATCTCCCAAATGTCCCGGCCGCAACAACGCTTTTATTGGTTCCGCTATCGGGACAGAACCAATAATGGTGAGCCGTTTTTTTTTTTTTTATTTAAAAAAATTGTCAATTTTAACGTTTTATTTAGATTACAAAACTAAATCTTAATAAAAAAAATTCTATTTATGACGTTTAAAAAATTAAGACCTACGAAAGACTGATCTAAGACATTTTAATACCAATTAAGGCCTTAGTTTTATTTTGAAGAATTCAATGCCTTTTAAGACTTTTTAAGGACCCGTTGGAACCATGCTTTCATCAAGGAATCCACTTGCATCCGATCCTTGTGCAAAAAATTGTCAAATGTTGTGATTGTGATCAGAGATCCTGATTTTTACCAAAATCTTCTCTGTAAGCTTTGAAGTAGGTTTGAATGGGAAATTGTGAACCTATTGACAGCTAATTTAAGCCTTTCCTCTGTATTTCTGAGGTCCATCCATTAGCTGGTCAAGAGAAAGTAAATAAAAGAAAAATTGAAGTAAAAAAATGTGAGAACCTCATTGGTGTTATTTCCAGAGCTTGGTTCAGAGTCATTACTGTAAACTCTTCTGTCTCTACGTATTGGTTCAATATATTCAATATAAATGGATATTTCTAACCACTTTTACACAGTTAACTCTCTTTAAGGAAGAATATATGCGTGTTGAAGTGAGATGCAGTGAGCAGGCAGACTAAAACAGCAGATGAAGAGACTGAGCGGATTGCGTTTCCTACCTCTGTGCTTCTGGTCTGGCTGCGTGTACTCGCTGCTTGGCTGGTTGACCTTATTGTACAACTTGGTGCAGCTTCTCTTCCTGTATGGAACAAAGTCAGGTGACGTGTCGTCGTCGTCTAATCCATTTAACCAGCGGTGGCTCTTCTTTACACTCTTTGCCGCTCTTTGCCTCTCTGAAACTCCCCTTTCCTTTCTGCTATTCACATTCTCCCACTCTTCATCCAACCTGTCGGTCTCCACCTGGGATCCTCCATTTCCCTGCTTGCCCATCACTGGATTCACTTCTTTGAGGCTTTTTTCAGCAGAATTCTGTTCATTATCCCCATTAGTTTTGGAGCTGGAGGAAGTATCTCCGGGAGTGAACGATATTTTGTTGACAGAGACCACCACGCTACATGCTTTAGTGATGATGTCTGAAATAGCAACTGCTGACTTGGAGGGGGAGAGAGCTTGGTTGGATTTCCCAAAAAGTTTCTTTTTCACCTTTGGCTTAGTGCAAGTTTTAACAAAGCCTGGGAAACAGAGAGAGATAAATCAAAAACTGATGACTTTTTCAACACCACGACGAAGAACAGGGATGAACAGATCCCAGGTTTGTAGCAACATTGCTTAAAATTAACGCTGTTCCTGGAATTTTGGTCACAGGGTACCTTTTTGTAGTTCTTTTTGTCTAATACAGTAGTTTATGCATTTTGCCAACTGTCAAATGACTAAAAAACATAAAAGTATTTGGATTACTTAAACAAATAAGGAGGTGCATAATTAATATTTAAGATTTTTAAGAAATGAGACATTTAATCGTTTTGTCTTTACTTGTCAACAAAAGCTAGACAAATGTTGAGTTTTTGTTGACAAAATGTTTTATGTATGTATGTAGTTGTGACAAAAACTAATGAGCATTTTTTTCCAAATGACTAAGAATACGACTAAAAGTTGAGTGGCCGCTCCTTCTCCTGCTGCTTCAGCCTGAGAATCCACAGATTTTGATGAGAATATATCATAGAGATTAGGGCTAAAAAAAAAAAAAAGTTATGGGATTAATCATGATTAATCTGTTAATAATACTTTAGTTTTTGCTTAATGTTTGAGTATAGAGACTAAAACATGTCTTGAGCTGAAAGTGCAACATACTCAAAGCAGTTATTACACCTAAATTGTAAAGAAAATACATAAACATTTTGCATTCAAGATACATTTTTTCTTCCATTAATATGCTTCATCCAGAAGTCCACAAAGGGCACAAGCTTCACTTGGTTTAAATTCAGTGTGAAATCTTCTTTAAGGAACCTTTTGCCATCTCATTATCGATTAATCGAAAAACGAACACACAGATCAATCAAATAGAAAAAGTGTGGTAAGTTGCAGCCCTACAACAGATTACCATTTAAAAGATTCCAACTGCAACTCCAAGGTGTTTGGAAATGCAAAAAAGAGGGGGTTAAAACGAGCTGCCCTAACCCTCTCAAAATGAAAAAGAAAGGAAAACTGGCTAGCAGAACTCCTAGAAGAATTTGAAGATAGCATATATAACCAGCAGAAAACTAGATGACAGAGCTAAGATGCCTTTGATAAGAAACATTTCCCAGCCTTCAACCACAAGGCTTTACTCCTGGGTCCATCAAGGGGTTCCAACTTTAAGCAGTGGTTTTTAGGGTTGTCTCTACACAAATTTATCTAAAGTGGTTCTGATTTATGCAGTGGAAATGCACAAAGTGATGCAAGAAAGCCAAAACAATGGCTGCCTAAAGACAGCTCTTTTAATTCATGGATGTACTTTGTTCTTCATGCATGGCTGTGCCATTTTCGAATCATGTTTATGAAGAAAAAAAAAAAGAAAAAGAAGAAAAAAAACAGTGTGGACCATTTCTTTTTTTTTTTTTTTTTTACACTTTGTTTAACATCTTTTAACAGCTGGAAAAGACTGGATCATATTGTTTAAATAATTTTTATGAAGAGCCCTCAGCTCAAGAGGGTGTACTTTTGAACTAATTACTGTGAACTTTGAGGGAGGAGGATGGAGTAAAGTTCTACTACTGAAAAAAGATCTGCAAAGATTGTTTTCTTCAAGAAAGAAGGCAGGATCACACCTATTCTGGGTTTGAGTCCAGCTGGACCAGATGGTTGGAAGCCACCGAATGCCCAGTCCAGCATCTGCTTCAGGAGCTCTTCGCTGTCGTCAAGCAAAGCAGAAAACTGCTTTCCACAGCGCTGTGCCGCCTCCTGAAGGACAGAGTGTGTTAATATTTCATGCAAACCTTAAACAACTCCTCTTTTCTACCCTGATGTTTGACCAGAGGTTTGGCCCTAAGTTTTCTTCTGGGACATCTAGAGCATTTATATGGAGCAAATCGGTCTCAATTTTCTTGAGACTCTCCTGACGTAGCTCGATACACAAATGCATTTTGTTATACAGGGGATGGTTTGCAACCAGTCACAGAGCTCCCTTGTATAAACCAATCACAAGAAAGTAATCCACGTGGGAGGACTATTTGCTCCGCCTCGGTCCAGTTTCGCGTCAGGCCAGCATATCCTTAGTAATACGAAATACATAGAGTTTCCTCCGTCTCCGTTCTCCTTACATCCAAGCATGTCATTTTATTTCCCGATTTATTCAGGTTTTTTGTCGTAGTTTGTGCATAAAACAAAAAATACATCATTCTCTAGGTTAGTTTTAAAAACAAACATTCCCTGTCCGTTAGATGAGGATCTTATTAAAGAATGATCTGCATTTTTTCACAGAGAATTAAATATTTACAGAGAGAGGATTCTAAAACCCAGTTGACAGGATATGAGATTTATTTGTTTATAGTTTGTTTAATATGAGCAAGATGCAGATCATTTTATTTATATATTTTTACAGCACATGAAGAACTACTGAAATTATTTTCAGATTACACATAAATAGATTAATAAATTCCGGCGGGGGAAAGGAATAATTTAGGGTTAGGATTAACTCGGTGATAACAACCTACTGGTACAATCTGAAGCCATTCTATTTATAATTGTTTATGGGCCAAAAATACTTTGGCGAATCATGAGCTGTGCATGTGTGGATCTTGTATGCTTGTGTGAATCGTGCTGTGTGTGAAGCTTATCCTGTTCATGCATAATGAGGCCAATTTGGCTCCATAATTTTAGGACAGGCTGACATACCAACCTGCAATGATGAGAGGATGGCCTCCCGATAAGTGACCAGAGTGGCAAAGGAGTGTGCACAGAAGTACTGGCTGAATCCAGCGAATGGCTTCAGAGACGCCACAGTAACCTGCAATCAGAGACAGAATTCACCTATAAGAGAAATGTCTTAAAGGAATAGTACATCCAAAACATGATTAGCCTTCATTTTCTACTCACCCCCATGCTGAACAACACTCTGGAGTACTTTCTTGATATCTCAAATGCATCTGGAGATCTGGGAGGCTTCTTGCTGTCTGCTGACATTCAAATAATGGAGGTCTATTGTGCCCCAGACAGAAAGGTCCATAAAAGTCCACAAAAAACGTGTCAATATTCCTCCATACTGCTCGTCCAATGTATTCCAAGTGTCCTGAGTGGGTAGCATCCAGAATTTACTTGAAATTAAGTCATTCAGAATGTTTTTAGAGCATAAACAGTAGTGTATAGGATTTCCTAAAAGCGCGTTCACGAGTCTACGGAAACCGCGGCATTCAGCTCAGCAAAGAACTCATGCTCTTCCTCAACACTGAAGTCCTCAGACATTTTTTCTTTCGTTGTTTCTTTCTTTGCACAGGTAAACAGCACATTTCTTCTTCTACGCTTGCATTATCGGCAGAGCAGACGCTGAATGCGCACTTTCGTCTGGTTTGGTCTGCCGCGGTTTCCGTAGACTCGTGAACGCGCTTTTAGGAAATCCTATACACTACTGTTTATGCTCTAAAAACATTCTAAATGACTTCGTTTCGAGTAAATTATGGACGCTACCCACTCAGGACACTTGGAATACATTGGACGAGCAGTATGGAGGAATATTGACACGTTTTTTGTGGACTTTTATGGACCTTTCTGTCTCGGGCACCATAGACCTCCAGTATTTGAATGTCAGCAGACAGCAAGAAGCCTCCCAGATCTCCAGATGCATTTGAGATATCAAAAAAGTACTCCAGAGTGTTGTTCAGCATGGGGGTGAGTAGAAAATGAAGGCTAATCATGTTTTGGGTGTACTATTCCTTTAACTTATTTGAAAAAACTGTAAGGAAGAAAATCTTTTGGAAAAAAAATGTGAGTTAAGAACAAGGTTTAGATCCAGTACTGACTCACCAGGGAGCACATCCTCTGGCCGTACCATTCCACCATCCTCTTGCGTGGATACTGCTTCTGTGCTTTGTAGGATACGATGATGCCGGGCCACGGGGAGAAGCCATCTATCTCACCCCAGACCAGGTCCCCCTTTACACATAAGGTAGGGGGGTTAAGTAGGGTTGGTGAAAACAGACAGACAACTTTCCCACATCTCATATATTCAACCTTAACTTTGGTTATTCTCATGTACTCTACTTTGCCTGATGCAAACATTTTTTTCAGCCTCAAAAATTTGTAAGAAAACACTGGCAGGATGAATCCTTAGCATATATTGCTTTTCACATGTACGTACGTTTTTTTGTGAGTTTTTTTTTTTTTTAAATAGGCTTAGAATTTGCTCGGGCCCATTTAAAAATGCCTCTCTGACTCGTATCTCTATCACTGAACAGCCCAACCACCTTGGAGACTTCGATAGAGGCCTCAGACTGAGAAATCAAGGAGGAAATTGCCCTGCAGATGCAGACAACTGCTCTGCTTTTTTAATAGAAAAACTAATAAGATGTTGATCTGCTCTAATGTTTTTTAATATATATAAAAAAAATGCTTAACATTAGTCACACATAGAACAATAAAGGTAAGTTCATTTATGGTTCAGGCAACAACCGGTTGCTGGACTTTGACTAGGCCATTCTAACACATTTATCCTGTACATGTTGCTCCATCTAGCTTATTAACTAAAAAAACAGCATGATGCTGCCATCACTGTGCTTCACCCTGGGGAACATGTGTTCCCAGGGATGTCCACAGTTAGATTTTTTTTTAACCACACACTGCATTTGTCCCAATGCTTTTAATTTATTCTCTTCTGACCAGAGTTCCTCCTTCCACGTTTGCCGTGTCCACTTATGGCTTAAAGCCTTTAGGGATTTTTATTTCTCTTTTTCAAAGAATAAGAAGTGAAAGTTGAAACCTGTCAAGAGATTTTCCTACAGGAGCTGTCGATCTATGTGTCCGCTCTGTCAGTCATTTCAGCTTTAGAAACATGTACATGCAGCATGTGGAGCACTAATCCCAAACATGTTCACCAGAAACAGACTTACAACTGATTTTTCTGCAAATTCTTCAGAATCGGGTAGTATGGTTGTTGAATCCAAGCCCTCTTCCTCTTCATCACTTGTCACAATGAAAATAAACTCTCCTTGTTGGATTCCATCTCCTGAAAACAGTGTTGACAGAACAATTCCTTCAAAAGGGTGGATACAGTCTGAGTTTTTTTCGTTTGTGTGTGTGAAATAAGAAAGGACACGTTCAGCTATATGTGTTACAAATATAAGAACATCCAGCAGTAAAATAAATTATCTTTGTGTTCTTGCTGATTTGTGCATCAGGTCCCCTGTCTGTCAGCAGCAGTGTGTACCAGTGCTTTAAAGGGTTGGTTATACTCCTGCAGCAGTGTGTCGCAGTGAGCTTGTAGTAGGTATGATGCAGATATTTTTTATTTATACCCAATTTTGAAGCATGACCACGCTATGTTATTCTATGCACAATCACAAACTAGCTGTGGGTCTAGATAGGCCGAGGCGGTCAGGAAGTGGAAAAACGCAAGGGGGTGGTTTTGCGCGACAACGGAGGGACATGAGGGCAAAAAATAGGGGTGTCAACAATAATCGATTCAGCGATGCATTGCAATGCGGGGCATGCACGATTCAGCATCGATGCGGCAACGTGCCATAATCTATTATGTCACTGTTTATTTTCTGGCCTCAAATGGACAAGTTTCAATTACTTCTGGGGGCATACCAACAACAATCAAGATGGCTGAGGCGGAGGGAGATGACCGCGATAGACGGGTAGGCCTAATTAAAAACGCACCAAAAGCTTGGAAAGCGGATATCTGGGCACATTTCGGATTTTACGAAGTCAATGGGATTTTGATGCATCGCAATGCATCGTAGAATCGAATTGAATCGAATCGTTACCTGGTGAATCGTAATCGAATCGAATCGTGCGGGCAGTGCCAATGCACACCCCTAGCAAAAAAGAACAGGGATCCAAGTGGAAAAAGGGTCCCAGCGTTCTCACACACCTCGCTCTTTTAGCTGGTCCAACTTCAACTGTTTTTTTTCTGCAATGGCAGTGATACAAACAAAACAAGCCAGTATGGTACCAAACAGGAAATACGGATAGTGTAGAGCAGATGTAGATTTGACCAATCAGATGCCTCCTGTCTGCGGCTATGCAGTTTCTCTCTGCATAGCCGTGTGTGAAGTACTGCTGGCTCTGATTGCCTGTTTGTTTTTTGGCAAAATGTTCATTGGATTTGTGCTTATCTGACTGTTTTCATATTATTCCCCAACTAAATAAAAAACTGTAAAAATGTATTAATATCTAGAGACTATTAATACCAGGGGGTGAAATGCAGCTCCAGATGAGCAGAGCATGTGGCGACGTCACGAGTACGCTTCTGTTCCTATTGACCGATACTTATGCTACGTTCTCCCGTTCTCCCAAGTCCATACTTTCCTGTGTTCTTCTCAAAAACATACTTGGCGAAGACACAAGTCCGTATTCGCGTTCTTGTAAATTGAGAAATGGTCAATGAATAAAACAAATTAATAAAATGTGTAAATAAGCAGCAGTGTTGAAAAACTGTCCACAAAGGCGTTTTATGAAGCAGCTCATTGCCCATGAGCAGGATGACTGCCATTCTTCAAGGATAAATTCGTGACTCAGTTTTTCAATAAAGGTTTGTTACCCGATTAGTTCAAATTACCTGTAGATTATTAACCTGCTGAGTAAAATAAGCTTGCTATCTACAACAATTACTTAGTTAATCCTACTCAAGGTAGGAGGGAAATCATGATGTCAGCCGGTCGGGCACTGTTGTACGTCTTAAACAGAAAATGATTGCAAGTTTTTGTATTATTTTGTTTTCTTTTTTCTTTTTCAATAAAAATTAAACCAGGATTAATCCAGCATTTTTTGAGCCTGTTGTGTGTCTTTAAAGGGATAGTTCGGGATTTTTGACATGAATCTGTATGGCATCCCCATCACCAGTGTCATGCAATCACACTGACTTACCCCTGGCAGCATCCTGTGAGCAGAGTTCTCGTCCAGCTTTGGTCAAGCCGAAAGTAGTCCGGCAGGTTTGCTAGACCCAGCGAAATAAAACGTTTCTCTTCCCAAAACATTATGTGTTCAAAAGAGTGATATTTTTGCATCCCAAAAACATTGTAGTGGAAAAAGCCACACGTCGTTATCACTTGGTCCTATTTTCTCTCTGTTCGTATCAGTGCGCGCCGTTATTCTGACAGCGAGCTCAACTTTGAGGAGGGCAGGGAAGTCGCTGTTGTTTGTGATGCAGACAGCAGCTGCTGCAACTCCGACATCCTCATCAAAAAGGTTCTGTATCTCGGGCATTACTAAATCCCACTCGTGGCAACAGTAGCATCCACCTCTGTCTGCATTAATTCGCACTTGAAACAAGTGCACCATGATTTGTCGGCCACCCTGGATATCGCAGCTCCAGCTGTGGCTCCTGCGGCTCCGGCTTCAGCTTCCATCACTTCTCTGTCCACCCTCTCTCTTTCTGCCCGATCTAACTCCATTTGTCGAAGTTCATCGTCAGTGTACTCGGGTTCATAAAGATATCCCTTTGGCTCTAAGTGGAAGTCGATGTTTTCCTCGTCGCTCTCGTAGTCAGACATCTTCCCCAGTAGTAAACAATCACGAATCAAACAGGTAGGCCCTTAACCTGACAACAGCCAGATGCATGCCTCGCTCCGCCCAGCTAGGAGCTAGGCGGAGCGAGACATGCATCTGGCTGTTGTCAGGTTAGTAGGCCCTAGCTGTCAGGTCATGGTGTCGCGCGCACTGATACGAACAGAGAGAAAATAGGACCAAGTGATAACGACGTGTGACTTTTTCCACTACAATGTTTTTGGGATGCAAAAATATCACTCTTTTGAACACATAATGTTTTGGGAAGAGAAACGTTTTATTTCGCTGGGTCTAGCAAACCTGCCGGACTACTTTCGGCTTGACCAAAGCTGGACGAGAACTCTGCTCACAGGATGCTGCCAGGGGTAAGTCAGTGTGATTGCATGACACTGGTGATGGGGATGCCATACAGATTCATGTCAAAAATCCCGAACTATCCCTTTAACTACATACTGAGCCTAAGCAACTTTGCCAGAAATTGCTAGCAGCGCCCCTGATTCCAGTTAACTGGTCTTACTTTCTGAGGTCATCGGCGGGTCTGCAGAGGATTGTCTAGACTCTTCTGTAAAATCCACCAGATCTGAGAAAACAGGAAATGATTCAATAGGTTGGTGCAAACCAATTGAGTTACAGTAGGTTTTATGAAATCTGTAGGAGGCTCCTGGAACCTGAAAGACGCACCTGAGAAGTTGTCTGTCTCGTCCGTTTTCTCCATGCTTCCTCCATGCTTCAGCTTTTTATGAGTTAAAAGCTTCCCTGTAGGACTGCTCTCCTTCTCTGATGATTCCTGATCCACTGTCACTTTTCTTTTCTGGTAGTTAGAGTTTTCCGGCAAAAGTGGCGTCCTCCGGTCCGTGCCCGAGTCCTGCCCCAATTTTTCAACCTGCGGCGAGGCTGCGGGGGTTTTCTCCACATTTGGATTAATTTTGATGTTCTTGTATGCCTTGTGAGAGGAACAAAACCAAATCAGGTCTCATCTCTCTTCATTACATTAATAAAAACAAAACAAAAAAAACACAAAGACCAGCACTCTGCAGCCATAGATGCTTTGTAAAAGTTATTAAACAGTAATCTGGTTCTGGCTAAATTCAAGCTAAAACCAACACAACAAAAATTCCTCTAATATCAATACCTAATGATGTCAGAAAGTGAAAAAATAGAAGGTAGGAGAGATTTACGAAAATGTGGCTCTGAAGCAAAAAAAAAAACATGCATCAATAGAAAGTAAGGGTGGGCGTACAGAAGCAGCCTTGTTTGTTTCTGTGCTTCAGCATCCAGACAGAGGTGGGGTCTGAGCTTCCTCTCTAGTCACAGCGGGTAGAAGTTTAGTTTTTCCTTTGAATGACAAAGCTGCATCTGATTTCATTAGCAATCAGCCTCCCGGGCAAAGCCGAACACGCCCAAACCATAACACCTCCACCACTATGCTTAAAGGAAAAGTCCAGTCACATTCAGAATACAAACTACTGAAAGTATTTTAAATATGAAATGATAAAATACTTTTCAATAAATGAGAAGTGTTTTTAATTAAGAGTAATTTCATTTGAATGTGCTTTACTGGAGACATCCATGTTTGTCAAACAGCACTACTGCTACCTACTGGTTTGTGACGTCACGGTGCGGTATCGGCTGTCATGTGCTGTATCTGGTGTTTGTCACAATGCGCTATTATCCATGAAGCCGACACCCAGTGCACTATGTGAAGCAGAGAGTATCGGATTAATAACGCGTTTTTTTTCTCTGGCGAGAAGTTCGATGGCAAATCCTGCCTCTTCATTTTGGCAATCCAACGACGAACCCGTGGTTGGATCATAAATCGGAAAGGTGAAGTAACTAAATTTTTTTTTCACCTTTACCCGATGTATTCCAACATCCAGCTGCCACGCACGTGGGCATTGTCAGTTTAACTATAGCTCTGGTGAATTTCAATGGTGAAGTCCTCTGGAAATCTTTAATTGTGATGCCTGGAAATCTTTAAAAGTGATGACTTTTCTGTTGGGTCAGACAAGGTTTTCGCCTGAAGGTTTGCAAAATATTGCATCTCTCTGAGGAATTATTACATACTGTTCAATAAATGATGTAATTTTCATCTAAATGTGTTTTACTGGAGGCATCCATGTTTGTCAAAGAACACTACTGCCACCTACTGGTTTGTGACGTCACGGTGCGGTATCGGCTGTTGATCAAGGCCCAGTAGTGTCTCTGGTGTTTGTCACAACGCTCTATTATCCAAGTCATCTTGAAAACATTCGTCTTCCAAATGTTGGCTACATATTACGTGTTTTTTCTCTGGCCAGAAGTTCGATGGCAAATCCTCCCTCTTCAAGTTGGCGATCCAACGACGAACCCGTCCGTGGAGGATCAGGAATCAGAAAGGTGGATTAACTCTTTTTTCTTCACTTTTATCCGATGTATTCCAACATCCAGCTGCCATGCACGTGGGCATTGTCAGTTTAACTATAGCTCTGGTGAATTTCAATGGTGAAGTCCTCTGGAAATCTTCAATAATTGTTGTTGATTGCAGATGTGTCTAGTAGTTCCCATTGATTTTGCTTGTAAAGCGGGTAATATGGCGCTAGGCTTACCGCACGTCACTGTGACATCACTGTCGGAAGATGTAAAGAGGGAGGCGTTACTATAATGTCCGGTCTCGGACTATGTGATCGGCACGAAAATTATAACTTTTATATATTTACTGATTAATGCTAAATTCATTAAATCAACACAAACGTATTCATTTTAGGTACAAATAATGACTAATTGGTTATTCCGTGCTTACCGGACCTTTCCTTTAACAGATCAGCATAGTGTTTTTAGTGGTTCCTTCTGATATTCCGTAAAAATTCAAAAAATATCCACTGATATATAAGACAAATCAGGGCATTCTGCACAATTTTGGACTTGGTTTCCAAGATTTGAAGACGTTTCGCCACCTCTCCAGGAAGCTTCCTGGAGATATTTCTTGAATTTTTAAGGAATGACTATGACCTGGATGACTGAGGACCTTCATCAGCATATTCCTTCTAATACTTTTGAAGTTTGGTAAAGCTATTTTGTTTTCTTCTTCAAAAACTTTATTTCCCCCAATACGGTTCTTAATTCTATATCCTGACTGCACAATTTCTTACCAGTTTTATGGGTACTATAAGTTAGTCTCTTTTTAAACTTTAACATTTCATAATTTTAAGTGACATTTTTTTTTTGTATTTATCCAAAGCAGGCTCAGAAGACTCAGTTATCATAAGTCTTGATGGAAGCTTTAGGTTATCTAGAGAAAGATAAAAAGTGAAAAATGAAAAGAGAAGAAAACTATAAGCTTTTTCACAGCAGGAGAAAACTGGTTGTGATTCTGTGAATATTTCTTATTCATCAGCAGTAGACCTCTTCTGTGTAGCTACTGCTTGCTAATCTTAATGTTGTCCATTGCCACTTCTGAGATTATTCTCATCTTCAAGCTTCTTAAATATCTTTTTCACTTTTAGGGGTATAGCTCATCATCTAATTTTTCAACAATTTCAATTTTTGGTAGAAGAAACCCTGGGATTCTTTATTACAGCTAATAAAGCAACAAAACTCTCCTGAAAAATGAGAAACACCAGTGTCTCAAAGCTCCCGCTGCTCTGAAGCAACGAAGATTGCGCAGCAAAAGAGTCAAAAAATGTCTGTCTCCCACTAAAACCAGGCTGGACGGTCCGACCTGAGCAGATGACACCATGGTGTTCTTTCAGGACATCTTCAACCCGTCCTGTGATCAAAGCTGAATCTCCTGAGCTTTATAGAGCTGCCTATGAGAGCAGCTGTTCCAACTCACCTGAGCAAACACCTGACTCATGTGGAGAGAGCTGGGCAGGGCCAAGAGGGTCAGAAACAGCTTGTGCAAAGTGGGCCACCGTTTCACTTTGCCTAAAATCTGCACAGACAGAAACAAAAACTTTTTGGGTTAATGATCACCAGCAGCTGTGAAACCTCGTCACTCAAAATAAACTGAGCTCTTTCGTTTTACTTGCCCAGTATAATGTTTGATAAATATAGTTCCTAATATTCATTTTTGTATATATATCAATGAAACATGTTTGTTTTTTAAATGTTTTATTGTAATTCAGTAAGTTTCCAGGTTCCTGGTGTGTATATGCATGCGTCAGATAATGAACTCAAGCCTACATTACCGTGTTAACATGCTTTTCAATCCTTCCTGCACATTCTTTTCAAAGTAAACTTTGCTTTAAACTGGTGTGTGCTTGGAAAAATATAAATTGTAATGTTAAAAATCTAAAAAAAAAACTTGACAGGTTAAAAACTTACACTACTACTACTCACCAATTTAACATGTTTAGCTCTATAACATTTAAATGCACTACTACAATGTCTAAGAGAAAAAAAATTTATGAAAACTTTTTAGTGTATGACCACTGTACAGAAGTTTGCCATATGATAGAAATATTTACACTGTGCGCATACAGTTATTATTTTCCTAATCCCTGACTGATAGTTTTTAATCTAGCATGTATTATAGTATAGATTAAATTCATCATCCAGCTGCCGCTCTGCAGAAGTCTCTCCCCAAGAGCTGAATCACGCCATCTAGCGGCTTTTTCAAATCACGCGAGAATGTGTACAAAACAACAAAAATGGCGATAGCAACGCTTGTGGGTCACTTTCAGCGAATGTAAGTGATTTTAAAGTGATCTTGAGTGATAAATAAAAAAAATTTTTTGCGATCATTGCACTTTCCCGGCGGGCAAATGCAAAGAAATTAGTTCTCTCCTGACAATAAAAACTAATTGCCCCGGGAGATCGGGCAATGGTTAACATCGAGCCCTGATTAGGAATAGGGCTGGGCAATTAACTGCATTTGCAATATAATCGCAAATCCCAGAGGCACTGATTTTTAATCCCACTATATTGAACATGCAAGACACTGAATTTCTCCCAACAGCCCTATGGGTGCTTAGTAAACCCTTAAAGTGGGTTTGTTGCCACACAGAATGGTAGAGAGAGTAGCATCTAGCAGGCAGATCCATGCATGCAAGTGGAAGTAAACACTTTTTCCCACCATAGTTACACTGAAATCCTGTTACATTGGGCTTTGGGCAAGCAAGCTTTCAATAACCAAAAGCAAAAGAAAAATAAAATAAATAAAAAATACAACTAGAAAGTAAGGTTGAACAATATCTAATAAATGTCCAACCAATATTCGTCAGTCCAAAAAATATTTGTGCAGGTGACTGTGGGCAAAGACAAGCACCCCTTCAGAGCGTGTCTTCTGCTCACTGGTAAAATTGTTAACCACTAACACACAATATATACCATAAACATGATTGTTTTCTTGTCAGAAATATATTAGCTCCGTCCAGTGGGAATAGTTTCCTCTTTTGCAGTTGTTCTGACAATGAAGTTATTCGATCTTTATTCATTTGTTTATCTGAACACACAAAATAGCACAGACTGCAATCTGTGGTGGAGATTCTCCTTTTTTCTTCAATAGAGGAGAAAATTCTCCTCATTTCTTTTTTCTGTTGTTAAATTTTGCATTTGTTGTGATTAAAACGGATCTGTAACAGAGAGAGCGGTCTGTAAACAAGCTTAAAATAAAGATGCCTTTTTCAGGTCCTGGTTCAGCTTTTAAAAAAAGAATCAAAAAAAAAAAACTGCTTATTTATGGTTTGGATCTGTTCTTTCTTTACGTCTCAAGTTTAAGTTGATAAATCACTGCTGCGTGTTGCAATGTAGGTCCAAAAAGGAAAGAAAAGCGCTCTTAAAAAAACATCACTGAAGGGCTGAGTCTATCGTCGACGGTCGATTATTCGGCCAATCGCCGACTTTACTACAAAGAACACTTACCTTTTGATTTCCAGGTCATAAGTATAGTTAAAAGAGGAGTTCAAAAGTTAGAAATCTTACCGTAACCCAGCCAATACATCCCTCACGCTTTCTCTGTTCCTTCTTTAAAATGTTGCAGCCTTCTGTCAGTTCCTGCTCTGCAGCACTGACCGCGCAGAGACCCAGCTGAGCACCAATCATTGGCAACCCTTCCCAAGGAAAATCTTTCTGTAGGAGAGACAGTGTTGATGAGAAAATACTACCCCTAGTACTTTACAGCAGAATTCCCTACAGTCAGCTCCCAAAAGTGGAACAATAATCCATAGAGAAACATTTCAGAAATCAATTCAGTTTATTTATACGCCAACAATTCAAAACACGTCATCTCAAGGCCCTTTAAGCCGGCCATACACTGTGCGATATTTTCAATCTTTGTACTCAGCTACAGCTCAAACTGTACGACGAAACTACAGGGTTTAAAAGGTCACAGCTCACAATGCATGTTCTCACACTGTGCAGCCCGACGCTCTGATGCATCTACCTACTCACACTGCAAGTCCAAAAAAAACAACTCACGCTAGACTGAGTGCCAAGAGATGGCGCTGGTCGCACTTGTCAAATTGAAAGACAAAGAACTCCCTTGTTCGAGGTTTTGGTAAATTGGCTCGTAGCTCTGGTAAAACAGCAGGATTTGTCCACAAACACCTCAAGACGACCGACTGAATTTCAAACGGTTTCACAAAGTTTGATTTTGTCCCGCCCTTACGATTCATGATGGAAGGTAGTCGTGAGAGGTAGGGCTGGGTAAAGAAAAAACAAAAAAACAATCGATTTAATAGATTTTGAATCGATTCCTTTACATTTTTGCAAAATCGATGTCTAGGGATTGAGATCGATTCATTTTATAGTGACCTGCGTGACGTTCACATTCAAATAAGCAGGAAAGGTGCACCAAGGATTACTTCAAGCCAGACAGCTGCAAATATAGCCAATAGGTTGATTGAAGACATTAACAACTACAGGGTGGTTGTTGGTCAGCCCCCATTTGTTACAGACAATGCTGCAAATATGGTTTGTGCAGTGGAGATAATGCAGCTCATGCATGTCTGCTGTGTCACGTCTGCCTGGTTGAGTGATCCTTCTCTTTTTCACTTTTCACAAACAAGTTTGCACTTATGGGACAGTTTCGTTCACATCTCATTTTTAAACTGTCTGATTTACAAGTTTGCACTTTGTGTTTAATGTCACAGGAAAAACAAAATACATGAGCATTTTGAAACACAGTTGAACCACTTTCATTAATGTAAAAACAGATCGAATCGAAATTAATCGCAAGATAATCGCTTCATGCTTTTTTTCCCTCCCATTTATTTTTATCCATTTGCTCCTGGGTGTAATTCTCCCTCCCGTGCTGCAGTGGCAGTAAACCTATTTTGCCCTCCTACCTCGCTTCCTGGTTATACTCTGACAGCAGTGTGTTGCAGTAAGCTTGACACAGACATTTTTGATTTATGCTCAATATTGAAGCATGGTCTGTACTACACTGTGGGTCTAGATACGGTCGAGGCTATGAGGAAGTGGGGGCGAGTTTAGTCCGACGATGGAGGGAGATGAGGGCCAAAAAGAGCTCTTCTAGCTCACGAGTTGTTTTCCGCAATTTCAGTTATAAAAACAAAACAAGCCCGCCTCCTGTCTGCAGCACTGTCTGCGGTGAGCTACAATTTGGGAGAGGAGCAGCGGAGCGTCTGTGGAGGGTGCGGGGACGTCTGGAGCCGAGTTATTGCATTGCAATCATTGCACTGATTTTGTGCAGTATTTTTTTGATGCAAGGCCTTTCAGAATCTATAACGCAGGGGTATTATTATTTTTCAGCGAATTAGGTTTTAATAGGAATAGGTGGAATGCAACTTCTCTACTTCTGTTATTTGTTTTGTTTCTAAAAAAAAAATGCATAACAATATCACAGCTTTCATTGATTTATTTCAAATTTGAAACATTGTCTAGCCTGTAAGGTGTAAAAAAAAAAAGAAAAAAATGAACCAATTAATCGAATCGTGGTGTATTCTTGAGTATCGAAAATAATCGAATTGTTGGGTCAGGAAATCGCCATGATGGATGTGATTTAAACCCCTACTCATTACCCCTATAGACTGCACGATGCAGGAGGCACAATGAAACTCAGCCTGATAGAAAAATTCTCGCACGACTGGAGAATGGGCTCTATGCACAGCTCCACTACTTCCTGAATTTAATGCAGCTCCTTTGTTTCCTGTCTTTCATTACTGGACGAACTGATTAATCCAGGTGTGTCTGGCCAGTTACTTAGGTCATACACACCTGGATTAATCAGTGCATCCAATCATGAAAGACAGGAAACAAAGGAGCTGCATTAAATTCAGGAAGTAGTGGAGCTGTGCATAGAGCCTATTGGCCCAAAAACAGCAAAAATAAATAAAAAATTAATCGTACAGTGTATGCCCAGCCTAACAGAGATAATTCAACCAGATCATCCAGTCAGACTGGTTTAACGTTTTCTATCTAAGGACTTGACAGCAATGCTTGTAGCAACAGTGGAGAGGAAAACTCCCTTTTAACAGGAAGAAACCTCCCGCAGAACCAGGCTCAGTGTGAGCGGCAAAAGCAGAAGGTGCGCCCTGATTTGGTCCACATGATGTAAACAAGTAATAATTACAGATCTACCAATCAGCAAGACACTTCTTCAATAGCAGAGCTCTGCTGCTTTAATGTTATTTTTTTTAAGCTGCTGTTATAAACTCCTCTCTACAAGCTAGTATGTTTACATTAATGCACACTAGTACATCTGAAAAAGCAAGTACAGATTAACTTTAAGCAGGGCCTGATTGAAATGTTTTATTTTTGATACGATACTGATATTGCAGCTTAGAGTAGATATTGATCTGATATGATAGCAGCAGAAATCATACATACCTACTCATCTTTTCTCAATGTGACACATAAAGGTTTATGAAGTAGAATTACTCAAACAGAGAAAGATAGTCAAGAGCAATCGGTATGAAAAAACTGTAGATCCGTTAATTAACCAATGGGTTCATTAACCTTTTAACTTAACATAAGCAGGATGTTTTAATTAGCAATTTTAGATGCTGCCCATAATCCTTATGAATTTTTTAGCTGATATCAGGCCAACTTCCAATACCAATATTAGATCAGGACGTTTCTACTTAGTTAAAGGTTATAAAAGGAAGTCATAAAGGCTTAAATTGTGTTAGCATGGTAAATTGCATCCTGTAAACAAATATAAAATTGTAAAAGGTTGAAAAAGACTGATGCGCATGAAGGGTTCAACCTTCCTGCTGTTCAAAAGATTTTTAACCAACTTAAATTTTTTTTTCCTGGATAGATTTGCTCTTCTTGATCAGGTTCCTCTTACTAGAATACAGTTACCGGTAATCTACAATTTGCTTCAACATACAGATATTCGATTGGATTCGTGCATATCTAATATGGTTGTTAAAATAGAGCAAAAATACCTAGAATAGACCCCAAAAGGCATGAGCTGTAGAACTACTAATGTAGCATTAGTGTAATCTGATTGTCAAAATATCAAGTGAGGATCAGGAACTGGACAGGTTTTCCATCATTTGACGGAGCTTTTGGATTTGCATAAGGTTGAGTTACATATTATATCAGTCTAACGTGATGTAATTTATCCCATTTTTATTCTTTATCTAATTCCAACTAATTACAAAACACTTGAATTCACCATTAAATTGCAGCTGGATGGAAATCTCCCCTGGTCAGAGGGATTCGTAAGAAGTGTGGTTTGCAGCATTTAGAATCAGGCTTGGACTGACAGCTCGTCATCCATAAGAGAAGGCATCGGCTGGAGGTGGGACAGTGGCGGAGGCCTCTCCAACGTTTGCCGTAGGAGGGGTAAAGGCTGATTTATACTTCGAAACCAGGTCCTCTGCGTAGGTGTTGCAGTAAACAAAAAGCCGTCCCCGCCCCCTCCGCAGAGACTCTGCTGCACCTCTCCCAAATTGTAACTGACAGCAGACAGGAGGCCGGCTTGTTTTGTTTTTATGACTGAAATTGCGGAAAATAACTCGTGAAGTTTGACCAGCTAGAAGATCAAGGTGCGCAATAACGCTGGGACCCTTTTTCCACCTGGATCACCGTCATGTCCCTCCGTTGTCGGACTAAACTCACCCCCACTTCCTCATCGCCTCGGCTGTATCTAGACCCACCGCGTATAGCGCAGACCACTGCGTCAACCACCCTGTGACACACTGCTGCAGGATTATAACCAGCCCTTTAGTGTCAGTCAAAGGCTTCCTGACACTACTTCCCGTCTGATCGTTTCTGCAAGGCCCAATCAGGAGGAGGCTTACAGAAGAGGTTTGTCTCCACATAACCTGTCAAAACACATTTTTCTTCATGCAAGGAGAAAATCAGTCCAAGGAAAAAGGCGCTTTAGGGAGCGTAGCCGCCCTCGAGCGTGGCCCCGGGATAGAAAATCAAGTGCGCGGTGAGATCCCGAGCGTGCATGGGAGGAGCTAGCATACGGAAAGCGATTTTCTTCAAGTGGCAGTTTCTCACACGTGTGATTTTGTTGAGCGGTGGTAGATAAACCATGTGCAAAAGTTGTTTAACATAATTACAAGTATGTTTATTTTGCTCGCGGCCATTTTGAAATAAATGTGATGACATACCTCGACACTAACATTCTTTATATCATCATTGTTGTCAGGGAATTATGTCCATATCTGATTGCTCCTAAAGGCTGGTGAACTTTCTGGGTAAATGTTTTAAGCTATTAATGGTTCTTTACTTCTTCTCTAAATGTTTTCACAAATATTTCTTCCAGCTGCAAATACTTGACAAATGGGAAAAGAAGGAAAATGTTTTGGTTTGATCCAAGTCCCTGTATAGACAGAAAAGGGAAAACAGGAAGAAAAACAGTTCTTACATTGATGCTTTCTGGATTTTTCAGCATGTTCCCAATCTTCCTCACTGTGACATCACACAGTGGAGCTGGAATGCTCTCCAGCAGACTCCACAGTGCTGCTTTGTAGAAAGTCTGGGCATTCTTTAGGAAACTAATCTTGACCTGTTGTTCGATATTGGAACCAGAGACCATCATCAGTTCCAAAGCCTGTACGCCGATATTCACCTCGTAAAATGGAAGCAGATTCTCACTTTGAGGCAAAGTCAACTCCTGCTTTAAGAAGGGAATGGACACTGACGGCTTGTAGATGCTGGCCATGTAGGACTGCAGCAAAATGAAAGCCAGCTGGAGCTCCCCGCTCAGATCTGCTTTGCCCGCCTGCTGTAGCTCTTGGAGGGCTCTGAGTGGCTCCAACGAGTGGGAAAGGAACAAAAACTGGAGTCTGAATGCGTCGTCCATCAGCTGGATCTTGATTCGGTTCAAGGGCTTTGTCTCTTTCAGGGATTTAAAATATTCCTGCAAATCCTGCCAGTGAGCGGCCATCTTCTGCACGCTGTATGTGATGAAGAAACAGTGTGCTGAGAGTGGAAGACGGGGGTTATATGACCCAGCGTCAGCAAACACCTCTTTCAGACTGTCATTAACGGAAGGGCATCTGGTGTAATGGCGATGGATGTCTGTAATCAGGTCCACAACTTGGCTGAAGGAGGCCGTGATTCCAGCTTGGCAGGCTCTCTCTGCTATCTCAGGGATGCTGCAGAGGGACAATAACTTTGGGCTGAAAGACTGGAGCCTGGTCACAATCACCCGGGTTAGGTACGGCTGTGGAACGTTGCAGTAAAAAGCGGCAATGTTGTACAGCGGAAGCTCATACTTTCTCAAGACTTCGACTAGAAGCCAAGCGTCAGAATAAACAACATGCACCATGGCGTCTATGTCCCGGTTTTGAGCGCCGTCAATGCCCATGTGCAGAGTGTGCAGCAGCTTCACCACACTCCTACCTGAGCAATCATTAAAGTAGCCGATCAGCAGGAAGGTAGCGCGCTTCCCTCCCCCCAGCTCCACCCCTACATACAGGTACACAGAGTAAGGCCTGTCTGTTACAGCCTGCATCACATCCTGTGGATCTGCAGAGTAAACTTCATGATCGAAGTTAGTTCTGATGAAATTCACCAAATCCTTTCCAGGACTCTTTTCCTCCATAGCAGCGTCTTCTGACTGCAAGCTCCGGATATCCTGTATCTGGATTTCCATCTCCTTCATCGACGTCTCGCTCTGTTGAGATCCCTGCTCGTTTGACACAAACACCACATCCTCCTCCTCATCATCAGATGTTAAACAGATCACAGTAGAGCTGTTCTGTTTTTCCGCCATTTCAAAATCCATACTTCTTTTCAGCTATTTGTTCCCAGGCGAAGGAGGCAGGATGAACGCTCACCGGGTTCTAAATACAGAGAAAACAAAGGTGAATAAAAACAACCTTAAGTCAGTCAGTGAACTAATAAATAATCAAACCATCAGACATGCAGATGGGAGATGCTTTCTCTTAAATTATAAGGTTTAAAGATCTTTTACACAGTACAGCGGAGGCCATCAGGGATTTTCCTTTAATTTAAACAATAGCTAAGCGACATCATGGCAGGGTTTCTACAAGTTTCACTAGGAGAAATTTAAGACTTTTTGAGACCCTTTAATACAACTTATAATAAAATGTAATATCATTTTTAGGGGCATATGGGAAATAAAAGGAGAATTTCTGGAATTTAAGAAAATTAGTTTATTTAAGTCAGATGGAATTTCAGTTCCCACCTACACACAGGACTGTTTTGAGGTGTGTATAAATGCAGAACAGTTGTGGTACGTTCACACCGAAGGCGAATTTGCAGCAGGTGCAAAGCTCAGTGAGGCGAAGATAGTAACAGGGTTCCTACAGCATAAGGCAAGTTAAGACTTTTTATTGCCACTTGAAATAAAAATTTAAGACAAAATTCACAAGAAACATAAGAAACAACTTAACCTAAAGGTTTATTTTAACATTAACCACTGCATTAATGTTTCAAAATTTGAAAAGCTTCCCATACAGGAAGAAAGCTAAAAACACACAAATGACAGATATATTTTAACAATTATTTAACTAAATTCACAAACTTTGTTTTAGCAGGGAACAAAAAAAAAAAATCAGTTTTAAAGCCACAACATAACCAGTGTAGTTAGTATGTTTGATTTGGTGATAAGTGGAGGCGTTGCAGAGACAAGGGTGGAACTAAACTGAGAAATACCGGCTGTTTCTCCGTAACTCCATTTTGACGCTTTGTGTTTCGCACTTCGCATGTGCGACTCCACTGCCTTAATTCCCATCGTTTCGAGCTTGAATCGCTTCTTGCACAAAATCCACTGTGCCTCATGTATGTCCCCTGTGTTTAGCCATGGAGAAAACTCTTGGCTGGAGACAATTTTGGTTACATTTACACTTGCTCATATTTTCCAGACAAAAAGTTAATGGCGCATCTCCCAAATGTCCCGGCCGCAACAACGCTTTTATTGGTTCCACCATTATTGGGCAGAACCAATAATGGCAAGTCGTTATTTTTTTTTATTTAAAAAAATTGTAAACTTTAATGTTTTATTTAGATTACAAAAATAATTTATGAGGTTTTAAAAAATTAAGTCCTACGAAAGACTGATTTAAGACATTTTAATACCAATTAAGGCCTCAGTTTTATTTTGAAGAATTCAATGCCTTTTAAGACTTTTATGCTGCGTTCACACCGGGGGCAGCTGGCGCGACAGAAGCAGCGAGTTTACATGCAAAGTCAATGGTTGACGCGCGTCAAGGCGCAGCAAAAGGTCCCACGGCACGTTTTGAGCTGCAGACGCAGCGCGTCTGAGCAGCTGAAGCAGCGCGTCGGGCGCGTTTTGGCATCTGACGCGCGTGACGCGCCGCAAACGCGTTGCTGCTCGAGATGGAAAAATTGAATTTTTGCTGCTCGACGCGCCGCGTCAACCAATCAGAGAAGCTGATCTGGGAGCTGGCTGGGAGAGAGACACAGCGCTGATGACACAGACCGCTCTGATTACTCCTCTTAAACAGTTTATTAAAGCATAATTAACTTAAAATATATACATCTGCCGGCAGAATATGTTCGCTTTTATTATTCTGGTGCCTGCAGATCGGATTATTTAGATGAAAAACACCTACCAGCCGCCGCGGTAAACCGCGAGGAGGCGACCCGGCCAGAGGCTGCTGATGAAGGGATTCCTTCTGTCGGCGCACCGCTGGTATGTGGGGGTCTGAGCGGCTCCGACAGAAATAACATCGGGAGACAGGATTGTAATCTGGATGAACTGACTGCACTGATTAAGTTTTCAGGTGTATTTTCTCACTTAAAAACATATTAAAACTACTTTACTCCCACTGATCACAGCAAATATAGCTGCAAGGCAGAGAAAGGATAGAGAAGCTCCGCCCAACGCGCGTCAGACACACTTTTGCACCGCGCAGCCAGAGCAGCAAAGCTGCTTCAGACGCGCGTCAGAACTAACTGGTACAAGCAACAAAAATGAAGCAGCAGACGCGATTTTGCTGCTTTTGCAGCGTCCGGTCTGAACGTAGCATAAGGACCCGCGGGAACCCTGAGTAAGCAAATGGCACGACTGTTGAATACAGTGAAACTACATCTTATTTGCTGAATATGAGCAGAAAAATCTGAACATTTGTTCGCATTGCCACGGTGAAATCTAGTCAGTGACCAGATGTTCCTGAGAGCTAAAGTGAAGGAGGCAGCAGAGACAAGCTTCTTTTAATCAAAACTGAAGATAAGAGAAAATAATGTTGACAAAGGATGAAGTGGGGATTGCTCTTAAGTTTGGTTGATGCTTAAGAGATGCAAACAAAAATTTCAAATCCTTTCTTCAAATTTGATCAAGTTTCATTTACTGTTTCTCTCCAAGCCTTTAGTTTGCACACTTTCCACACCACAGTAACTATAAAGTCCTGCACAAAGGAGTCTAAACAAGCAAATTTAATTTTAGTTTGCAAAAAAAGTCCCAAAAGTTTCCAAAGAGAGTGAGCCACTGTATCTGCCTTAAAAGTCAGTGGGCATGTTTCCATTAGCTTTTTTCTAATGTGAGTTTTAAAGCACTGCATCAGAAAAGCTTGATGAAAATGCTGAAATCCAGGGGAAAAAAAAGAACTTCCAAAAATTCCTACAAAGGTTTTTACCCTCACTTGATCTGTTTTTTTGGATTTTGAGAAAAAGGGATTGAGGCTTAAAGTGGGACTAATCAGCTGTTTCTGCTGTTGGCAGCTTCCGAGATGTTCCTATTATGCGTGTAGACATGGCTGTAAGCAATATCTCATTTATTAAATCTTTCCTCCATCACCAATCTGTGGTTGCGGCAAGATTGGGGCCCCTGCTTCCTGTTTATTACAGCCACGCAGGACAATGTACTCTGATTGCGTTACGTTTTGTGTCACTTGGTTAATTTGCTTTAAACCAAATGAAAACTAAACTGCAATTTCACCTCATCTATTTTTCAAAACTTTTAAGTTTCCCTAAAATTCGCCTTTCAGTTGGAAGGAAACGCTGCTAAGATTCAAAGTGACCTAGAATTTATTCACTACCTGCTACACGGGTATTCAATAAAAAAGGATCCAACAGCAAGAGGCTGCTCAGCTGCATTGATCTAACTGGTGACTGTAATGATATTTATAAAAGGACAGTTAACAGGCAGCTCTTTAATTATGGTAAAAAATGTAACAGTTTATTTTATGTTGTTGGCCTTGTCAGAGGTTAAGAGTTTCCAAATAATGCCATCACTATGAACCCAGATGAATGAAAAAGATAAAGCAATGTAATAAATCTAATGAGATTGGAAAATTTGATTTATGTTCTAGGTTTTGTTGTTGTTTGTTTTATTATATTTTGGTGGGGATTGTTTTTTAATCAATAATTCAACTCTGTTAAAGTGATGAATTAACAATATACAAATTTTGCCCTAACATGATGTTTTTTTGTCTTATTAGAACATAATTTGTACTTTTATTTGGTTTCTGCAGAGGGTTACCGTTTTCAGCTCTGTTACTACCTACTGAATGAATTCAATGTTGCATCGGTAGACTTGACCAAAATTTCTCGGACATAATCAACAGCAGGTTAGATGTAAAAACATAACCTGAAATAATAAAAAAACAAAAAACAAAACAGGCATCAATGGATTCTAAAACCACAAACAGCATTACCTCTGTCCAGGAAACAAATGCAAAGAGCATCCTGCAACTTCATGAACAAATCATTACTTTCCAGTAAAACCAGTCATATAAAGGGATTATGTCATGACATATTAACTTTTTGACCTTATAACTATATTATGATGCTTTTTCTTCATAGAACCATGCCTAAAACTGTATTTCACTTCATTTATGTATGTCTAAGTAATCCCCATGAGTTCTGAGGCCATTACTATTTAATGCAGGGCAATAATTAAGAATAAAAGAATTTTAAAGAATTGTGCAACTGCGAGAGTGCTTTTAAACATTTACCAAATATGGATTTATATTTTTGAATAAAAAGCAAAGAGACAATTTAACAGAATGGAATACTGTTAAACTAATGTAAAAACATCAACATTTAGCAAATGCTTAAGTGAAACAATGGCAACGTACCTAGAGAGTACAGTCAATGTTGCGTTTTTTTATTTTATATTTTTATTAACTTCTTTTTTAGCTGGGCCATCATGCAAACCTTAAAACAGTAGAAAAACATAGATAGCTAAAGATGGCAAAGTTAATCTAATTAGAAGCTAAACCTTAAATGCACAACGGAGCGTTATTCCTGATCCTTCCTCCCAGCAGCTGTAAGACAATATAACCATCACCATTTCCAACAACCTCAATAAGTTGTTACATGCATGCTGATTTTTGCAGTTTCTGTCTTAGTCAGGTAAATAACATGCTGCGGTCATTTTGCACATCTCTGATGTTGCTGCTATTTCTTAAATACCCATTACTGTAAAAAAAAAAAATGTCTCTCCAGGTGCACAGTATTTTAATTGTAAAACACTGTACTGTACAGTACAGTATTTTATTTTTTTTTTTTTTACTCTTCACTATTATGATATTTTTATACACTTTTCTAAGGTCCACACTTGTATGACCACTTTTGTTATAATATTTTTGCTGCTTTAACGCCAGATTTTGCCCATTGTGGGACAATAAAGGGATTTTCTATTCTATAATTATCATCAGCAGTTTGTAAACCATTTAAAAAATATAGCTTAGTTTAGTAAAAAAAAAACCTATACACGACCCATAATCCCTACTTTTCCAAGCCAAGTTGTTTATGTTGGATAAGAGGACATGTTGGATAGGAGGACAGTACTTAGGTTGTCGGCTTCCGATTGGTCAAAAGTCAATTGCGTCACATTCTTTCACCAACCAATCAAATCGGAGAGGGTCGCTTTTCAGCCAAGACGAATAATTTAAATACGTTTCTATGAAGCGCTTTAAACCGAAGAGGAACAGAAATGGGACAGCTGGGAGTTCAGGGCAGAACAATGCAAAACTAAACAATGACGGGTTAGCCCAACTGTCCTTCGTCACTCACACGGCTTTAAACTATCCAAATCTTAGATAAACTAAACTATTCTAACGTTATAGTTGCGAAAGGGCCTAAAACACCAACGGCGAGGATCACAAATAAAAGAAAGAATTGTTAAATGAGCACCAGTTTTATCTAAGCTCACTATACGACTTAAAAAAATAATAACTTCCCTAATCAACTTGTCAATTCACCATTACATTTACGTACATAAAAACGAGCGTTTTCTAAGAATACGATTTCGAAAATACCTCAGTAGCACATCGGTAATACATTATTTTTCTTGTTTGTCACTTTAAGCATTTATTTAAGAGCTTTTCCCGAGACCACCAAGACAGTAAATTAAGCATTTACTCTGTGAGATGCTAACCCATGTGTAGTTTATTATACGGACGGACGCTTAGTGAACTAAACCAAAGGATGATGTCAACGCTTTCGATGAAGCAGGTTCAACCATCATCCCTTACCAAGCTAGATTGTTAGTTCGTATGCTAAGATTTCCTCTAACGACAAAAAATGAATCCTTAAGTTGTGAAACGTGTTTAAAACTACACGCTAAACTTACCCACGCCGATCGGTCCTCCTTCGCTCCCTCCCTCCGACTCCCAAAACACCGAGGTGTATCCTTCCGCCGAGGGCACCCTCCCGCTTCCCAACAGCGATATTTCAACAAGATTTTCCCGCTAAATTAACCAAAGAGACCCTAAAAATATCTGGTTTCTTACAATGATCACATTAGACTATTAACTGATGCCTGAAATGACCGTCGGGCTTTGGAAATTACATCTGCTTTGTTAAAACTAAGCAAATCCTTATAAACGTTTCCCCTTGAGCCGCCATTGCAGCTAGCCTTTAGCTAGCGCGTAATGGCTGGGATTCCTAATGAAATGCTTTGCTCGCACAACGCGAATGTTAAAAATATACATATATTATCCAAACTTCCTGATAATAATAATATCGAAAGCAAATATATTGCAATTTATAAGAACACAATTAAGTCGGGCCTGTTTGAAACGCAAAAATCGGACACTTCATTTGATCGAAGGCCACAGGCGCAGATTAAAACCATTGTTTTAACGTTTTATCCTCTTCGTCCAATTCAACTCAATTCCATCCAGTCCACCTCTCCATAATGTTAATATCTTGTACACTTTTTGTAACGTTAGAATCAGACTTTTATGTATTCATTTCAGATAGATTTAGTCATTTATGCAAAAAGTAGTGCCTAACAGTGACGTGGCCAGGGATGATAAACGTTTGTGTTTTGGAGGCGGGGGATACGTTGGTATTTTTAACGGCCGAAAGCGTTACCCAGTTTTTCTTCACAAACAGCTAAATCAGTCAGACTGGATGGTGAAAATCAGTTTCCACATCCAGATTAATGTATGAACTTCTAGTTAGGTAGATAATGGATGTTCTTTGTTCTTAAACACTTCATTTTAGCTCAAACTGTATGTCCTGCTTGATAATAAACCTACAACCTCAAAACTGCTTCTTTGAGGACTGCTGTTCATTTAGTCTACATCTTGGTTGTATCTGTTCTATCAACTTTGAACAACCACCCAGTCACTGTTAAAGAGACGGAATGCCCACAGCATAATGGAGCCTCTACAGTTTAACTGTGGCAAGGGTGTGTCTATGACAGAGGTGTTCAGAGTTTTCCAGGCCAAGGACCCCCAAAATGATGGCGAGATGGAGCGGGGACCCCCTAATTATATATATTGTATGAAATTGTGTTATATCAAACTGGTCCTATATTCACTCTATTACAGCAGGAGTAATTTAACCAAAGTGATTTCATCCTGGGACTATTAAAGTATTTCTGATTCTGATTCCTGGTTGATGGGACAGGTGTTGTAAATGAAACGGTACCCAGCTTTAAAGAGCTCCTGTTTGTCGCTGAATGTTTGCATTGATGACTGAAAGACATCTTCTGTCTCTATTTATCTGTTTATTACAGTTTGTATAATTCATGTTAATTTGCATTTAAAGACATTTCAATAAGTCGAAAAAAATTGCAGGCGGGGATATAAAAAAAAAGAAAGTCTAATCAACCAAAACTTTCACGACCCCCATGCAGTAGCTCTGTGGACCCCATAGGGGTGGCGGACCTCCTGTTGAAGACCTCCGATCTGTTCTATCAACCCTTAATAACCACTAGGGGTGTAAATCACACCCATCATGGCCATTTGATTTAGTATCAATTTCCTGACCCAACGATTCCATTATTTTCGATACTCAAGAATAAACCACGATTCGATTCGATTAATTGGTAACTTTTTTTTTTTACACTTTACAGGCTAGACAATGTTTCAAATTTGAAATAAATCAATGAAAGCTGTAATATCGTTATGCGTTTTATTTGAGAAACAACAGCAAATAACAAAAGTAGCAAAGTTGTAATTAACCTAGGCCTATGAAAACCTCATTCACTGAAAAATAATAATGCCTCTGTGATTCTGAAAGGCTTTGCATCAAAAAATACTGCAAGAGGAAAAAGGATGGTGTCTGAAGGAAGCGAGGTAAGTGGGCAAAATAGGTTTAGCGCCACTGCAGCACAGGAGTCAGAATTACATCCCGGAGCAAATCGACAAAATAGACCGCAGGAAAAAAAAAAAAAAAAACATGAATCGATACTCTTCTGGACAGGTCGATGCATCTGATCGTTGGCTGTTGGTTCGATGCATCAATAAAAAACGATTATTATTTACACCCCTAATAACCACCCAGTCACTGTTAAAGGGAAGGAATGCCCACAGCATAATGGAGCCTCTGCAGTTTAAATATGGATAGGGTGTGTCTATGAGGATGTACCACCATTTATAATAAATAATAATAATTGAACATTATTAATATATTGAAGAAATTTACCTCTGCATTTAACCCATCCCCTTGGGGAGCAGTGGGCTGCCATCGTGGGGCGCCAATCAGAGGTTATGGGTCTTGCTCCGAGACCCAGAGTGGCAGTCTGTAGGACTTAAACTTAGACAAACTTTATTGTCATTTTGTCCACACAGGGTGTATACAAAACAACATTTCATTCGGTACAACTCTCAAGACATTTCCATTTTTTAAAGTGCAGCAGTGATTAAATGTAAACGTGGTGAACAGATGTAAACATAAGACCGGGATATGATTTACAGCTTTCCAAGATTCAGCATTTTTGTTAGTTTTTTCTCTGTTATTCAACATTCAGCAGTCTAATGGCTGCAAATGCATCCAAATGCAGGGCAGCCGCGAGAACAGTTTATGGTGGGGGTGTGAGGTGAGAATGAACAGATGGGTGGGGGCAGTTGGGCTCTCCTCATCCTCCACAAGAAGTACATGCACTTTTGTGCCCTTTTGATCAGCGAGGTGGTGTTTACATTCCAGGTGAGGTTGCTTGTGATGTGCACCCCCAGGAATTTGGTGCTGCTGACCACCTCTACAGTGGAGCAGTTAATGAGCAGTGGAATGTGGTTAGGCTAATTTTTCCTGAAGTCAACAATGATCACCTTCGTTTTCTCCACATTCAGGATCAGGTTTCTGTTTCTGCACCACTCCACCTGTGGGAGTGGGGCTCAAGCTCAGAAGCTCAGGATTCCAAGCTTTATGCCCTAACCACTAGGCCACCACTCCCCTTAGATGAACCCGAAGTAAACTTTTGCTGTCATAGTTCTCATAGTATGTCTAGGTTGTGCTTCATAACATTTTCATCCAAAACATTAACTGCTGACGGTTTATAAGGTCCATTTTCCATGCATTTCTCTCATGAAAATCCTCTGCTTTTGCTCAAATAATTATTTTAAATATGAACCATTAAAACACTTTTATGGTTTGCTCTTTAACTCAAAATGAGCTGGACTCATGAAAAAGATCCTACTAAATACAGTGAGAAAACATAAAGTACACCTTTTTATCAAATCAGTTGTTTGTTGCATCAGAACATCATAAAGATGTTCACCATTTTCCATTATTCTACAATGATATCAATGTAGCCTAAAGCAAACTAAAGCATACATCAGATTCCACTCTGTTATTGCTAAACAAAGATTTAGCCGGTATGGATGTTGTGCGGAAAAGCTCCATCCACGCTTGATGCCTCATTAAAGATTGATGATTGTTAAAAGTAGACATATGCAGCTCATTGAAATAATTTCAATAACCAGTGATTCACACTTTGTACACCTCTGTTAGCAGCATTTTCTGTAATCATCTGGTGTTGCAGCGGCTAGTGTCCCTAAACTATTAAGTCCCGGTTCAGAATCAGAAATACTTTAATAATCCCAAAGGGAAATTACTTTTGTTACACACTCCAGTTACAGTTTTATATATATATATATATATATATATATATATATATATATATATATATATATATATATATATATATATATATATATATATATATATATATATATATATATATGCATATGTAAAAACTAAATCCAAGTAAAGTGAAAATCCAAGTACTTGGATTTAGTTTTTACATATGCATATATATACATACATATATATATATATACACAGAAGAGCTATATGTGTATATATTATTCAGACCCCAATATGGAGGATATACTGTTCTACACACATTAATTAACTGATGCATAATGAAAAGCAGCAAATAGCCAAAATCTCTTTGCAAGGATAGGGGAGAGACTTTATAGCGAAGCAGTAAATTCATACTAAAGCTCTCAAATGAGAGTCAAAATGGCTGAAATTCTGGATCATGGATGGGCTTTTTCACTCAGGGCATTTCCAATCACTTTCCTCTCCAAGTATTAAACAATGACATCATGTACAATGTAAATTGTTGTGTTTTTTGTGTTTTCAAGGGTTAGAATAAAATAACTTTATAATATATAAAATATATATTTATATAAAATAATATAAACTATTAAAACTATTGGAAACGTTTTTTTTTTTTATGTTGACAGTTTCTGTGTGCGTACTTAATTCAATTTTATTGAAGTGCTTTTATACTCACTGTTGGCTGCCATACATTCAGGCAATATCTCCTAACAGGGGGAGGAGAAAACAGGTTTAATATTTTTTGAATGCACATTTAAGATTAAGTATGGAGTTGTTTGAAGTCCAAATTTTCATTTTTATTATTGGGCAAACCTTAAGAGCCTGAGCAATAAGTAGTTCCACAGTTAATGCTGTTATCTTTTGTGGACAGATTTTCCCCATAAACGGACCTAAAAAATTCTGAGATCTTGCCGCTTTATGTTAGGTAAAGCTTTTTACCGACATTTTTGGTCATTCAGATAAAAGAGCCGAGGAATTACGAATCCTTGGACTAGTTTTCTGTGTCAACCTTCTAATAGGACATTTATTTTATTTATTTTTTGCCTTTTCCATCCATTCCAATCAAGTTTGATTTGGCATTAAATATAAAAGGTCCAGGTTAAACATGGAACCTTAGTTTGAACGTTAGTACTAGAGGTAATGTTTTACTGCAGCTCCTAACTCAAGACAAATGGTTTTTAGTAAAGGATTAAGGATGTCTGATCAGAACCAGTTGAATCATAGTTAGTGTGGCCAAGATCCTGAAAACCAGAATGAAACCTCAAACTTTTATTACCTTATATGTTAAATATTTGTTGAAAATATTAGGAGCAATTTCACGAACTACGGTTGTAATAGATCAGATTTTAGTACATGAAAATAACCTGTTAAAAAAGGGTTAAACACAACAATGGCTTTAATAGAAAGAAACCTGGGAATTGTTATCCGCTTTATTAAGCATGAATACAATATGTTTGTCTCTTTAGCTTGTAGTTCTTTTAATATTTGATAATCAAACAACAATATAGAGATGCAGAGTTCTGATTATTCCTGTATAAACAGTGTTGCAAACGCTTGAACCATAAATATAAGCGTCTAAAGGCCTCTCACTGAAGTCTAAAGAAGTATGCTGGATTTTATTTGCAAGATGCAATGAATCATAATATCTTTTTTGATTTTCAAAACAAAATCTGATCAGATTTAAGATTGGTTGATAATCGGGCAGGACGTAGCTTCTCTGCACGCTGATGCGATTTGATTGAAAACAATGTCACAGCAATAGCATAAATACTGACAGAAAGTTGATAAAGAAAGGGATAAATCTATGATGCAGAATTAAAGCAGTGGCAGGAAGACAGATTTATCTGCACAAAATCTGTAAAGCTGAATAGCAAAGTGACCAATGTCGTCAACTCTAGTTGGAAAAATCTGGATTTGACCAAAAGATTCATAACACGTTGACTCGAACTAAACTAAAACTAAAAAGTAAGCAAAGCTTAATTTCTATGACACATTTAAACGGAGATCCTAATGTGATTTAAAGAAAATTAAAAACACGAAGCATCACTAAATGGAAACAGTTAAGAGCAGATGTGAAAATATGTTTTATTTCAATAGTCTGTCCACATCAAACTAAAGATGGGAGTGTTCCCGAGTCCTGGTACTGCTGCAGAAAGTCCAGTCATCTTTAGATTTCAGCAGTGGCACCATCAACAGACCTTTGGTCACATGACTGAGAGACATGCTTGGGACAAACAGATGTTAAAGTTCTGGGATGTGTGCCGTGTAGCGCTGGACCATTCAAAGCCCTATGAGGGAGAACATCAGATTGGAAGGGTTCCGGACCTGCAGATGGACCAACCTGATCAGAGAGGTAATTCAATCCCAAAGAAACCAAATGCAAGAATCTTTAAGGTGCTTTTTTAAACTGTATGATATATCCAAGGTTGAATCATTATGGGACAATGGAAGGCCTTCTTTTCATTTTAAAGATGAAATTATGTTTCTATCTTTAAGGTATAGTGGAGGATGTTCTTTTTCCGGGTGGATTATCAAAATAAGTGTTCCTCCTAATTGTCTACTTACCGGTAGTGAGTCTGCCATAGCGGAAAAATTGCTTTCTAAAATCTTCTTTTGGAAAGTAAGCTTGTATGAATGGTGCAAACTGCAACTTTTAAACAGCGTGCACGAGGAGAAATGCGCTCGTGCACACTCTCGCACACGTTTAATAGGCGTTCCCTCTAAGGATGCGCATGTGCATTTCTGTGGAGAGGGTGGGTGTTTTCAGAGTTTCCTGAAAAATTCTCCACTATATGTTTAAAATAAGAGGAAATAGAAAACTTTTTTAAGTTAGAAGGCCTGCTTTGTTCATTGTTAAGGTGAAAAAAAATATATATTTTCACAAAGTCTAAAGGTTCCAAGTTTAGAAAATCAAATCTTCAAAATAAACTAGGTTTGAGATGTTGAAACATCATTAAGTCCATCGTCACACAAACTATTTCAGGATTAGTGTGTCTCTTGGTCATTTCGATTTTTATTGTTTCTTATAAATTTCTATGAATTTTTGTTTTAAAAGACAAAAAAATTAATTACCGTAAAATACACTGAGAAATTTTGCCTTTCTGGGATGGTAAAAATATTTCATTTTGGTTTCTATTTTGATGTTGATGTCTGATATTCCTGCTACAGCACGACCGATTTCCATCTGTCATACTTCAGTGGTATCAGGGGAACGCCACATGTTCTGAGGTGGAACCTCAGTGGACAGCTGTTATACAGTGAGCTTAGAAAAAAAAAGGAAGGCGGCCTAAACTGGGAGTCATCATTCACACAAACGGATGGTCTTTGGGTCGGCAGGAATCTTTCTTATTGTCATGGGATTAATTCTCATGGACGGACAGATTTTTCAGACAATGAGATATGGAATAGTCTGGAAAGGCAAATATTGTTCTGTACTCCATGACCTTTTTCCACACTGACACAGGCCTGATAGAACCTGCATAAGATTCCAGCGATATGAATAAAAAAAACTGAAACTTGCTTGTGTTTTGTGCAGCAAGGCTGCGTTTTATTATATAAACCTTATAAAGTAGCTACAAGTAGTAGACAAATGTTTCGTCTGTATTTTTGTAAAACAGTATAAAAAGGTAACTCAAAATGTCTTTATATGAAATGCTTTGAACCATGAGAATAAAAGGCAAAAAATATACTGTAATACAAAAACAGCATTGTTCAAAAAACACAACTACTCTGAAAATATAGTCCAGGTTACAAGCCTACAAAAACACACTAAACATGAGAAGAGAGTCCTAAAACCTCCTAATATGCTGAAAAACTAGCTTTATAATGTTAATCTAATAGCAAAATATCTGCAAAGGGCAGCTACAGCAAAAATAGATATACTTTTTTTAGTGTAAAGCAGAAGATGAACAGTTTTAGTGAAAAAGTGAAGCTAAGAAGTAAAAATAAATGTTTTAGGAAAGCACTTTTTAAAGCACATCATAAGCAAATCACAAAAATAGAAACTATTTAGTAAAAAAAAGTGTTTCTACTAAAGGCATGTGTCTAAACAGAAATATTTCCTTGAACAAGCCTTGTAAACATTTCTTTGGATACAGTACGTAACAAGAAACTGCAAAGAACTGTACGTGGTGAGCCTCTGGGAGCAGATAGGATAATATATATATATATATATATATATATATATAATTTAGTGGCTGGTTTAAGATTTAGGGTCACTTCAGGATAACTTGTCAATAAGATAAGATGAGTTTACAGCAGTGTCTGGCGATTACAGTACTTTATGTTAAGGAATGTGCAGACTCCATAATAAAAAACAAACCTCTGAGGATCAGTGGAAATACACTGAACGGCTGGAACGAGGTTTTTTAAACCTTATTCAGTAGCAGAACATAGCTAACAAGTATTTCACATTTTTGACTTTAGTGAACAGCGAACAGTGACAAAAGAAATCGCCTCCCAGCGTTGAAAAAAAATTTTTTTTTCAAAGAAATCTTTTTAAAAGTGTTTCACACAATCTTAAAACTGGTTTCCAAATCCAAATGCTTAACAGGTAAGAACCAGAGGTTGTGAATGCAGGTATTCCCTGGACCTTTAAATTCAAATTAGAACGATCAGTGATCTCAGATGATTTAAATGCAGCACAGAGATTAACTTCCGTCAGTCTAACAAGTGGGTGCTTCCTTTTATGCCCCTTTCTTGCTAAGTTGGATCTATTTTCAGCTGCCAACCAATAAACTGTAATCAATCCACTTATTTTTCACCTGGAACTTGCATTATGAACATTATTCGTTATTATATCCATCAGTCATTGTGAGTGTCGTCCTCTGGGCAGCTCGGTTCCTACTGTTTATAGAAAAGTAAAATGACACACTGTTTGGTTCTAATTCTAAAGGCTGCAGAATTTGCCTGCTCGTTTCTGTAGCTGCTCGAAAAATCACCTCAGACTAGTTTTCAGGGAGGTTCATTACTTCCCAGGCCTGAATCTGTATGATGTGAACAGTTTTGACAATTAGAGCTGAGCTGTTTTATTTGTTTCAGTGTTAATGGAAATTCTGCAGCTCTGCAACCACAGAAAGGATTTTGCCAATAATACAGTGACAGCTACTATTGTTTTCCTGCAGCTCTGATTTTGATAAAAGTAACTCTCTCCATGCAAAAGTGCCTGATAGAGTGAAACCGCTTCTGGTCAATTTTTTTTTTTTTTTAAAGGGCAATAAGTCAAATAAAAGTCCTGCTGCGTATTCCAGAGTGGAATCCCTCCATCTGGTCTATTCACAGGCAAAGTAATCTTTGAGTGGTGCAAACAGGTGCCTGATGACAGGGACGCTCCATGACCGACCCAGGAGTCTCTGCCTGGCACCGCGGCCCATGTTGGACACGTCCGTGTAGTGCACAGGGAATCCAAAAATCCTGGTTAAAGGGACAAAAAAAAAAGGTTTTCATTAGAATTTAGTCAGCATGTGATTCAAAGCCTTTAGCTCCTCCTTAAAGCCCGGCGTACACTGTGCCATTTTCACTGCGATTTTCCAGTCATGTGAGAATCTTTCGATCCGGCCGACTTTCAGCCTGAAATTGCATCATGAGTCCTGTAGTGTACAGGCGGCGATCAGCCTATCACGACCACCTCCCGATCAGGAATCGTCGTGGACAAATCGCTCAGGGCGAATACGCAAACAGTTCTGTCTGTAAAATTGACAGACTGTAGTAGCCACGTTTGCTCAGCCATGTCTTTTTTCTTTTTAGGGGTTTCAGCACAAAATTGCACAAATTGCAATATTTGTTTGGCTTCCGGATAGACAAGTAAGAGCAGCTCTATCTCACTATGGAGCTGAGCCCGATGTGCTTTTTTGTCGTACAGTGTGAGCCGGTAGATCGCATGAGAGTTTCAGGCCAAACATAAATTGTGAGCTGTGAAGTCACACTAAACCCTGCGGTTTAGTCGTACAGTGTGAGCAGTAGCTGCGTGCAAAATTGCACAGTGTACGCCCGGTTAAACCTGCACCCTGCTCACCTCTCCAGCTCTGTGCACCACAGGACGTCCTCTTTCCCATTCATCAAGACTGGGAAGTGCTGATCTTTTCCCTGTTTGATAGAGTTGGAGCGAGTAGTGATCGTTCGCACCTTTCCAAACTAAGAGACAACATTGTCAACACTGTCAAGCTTTAACTACTCTGCACGAGAGAACTACAGGTAAGAAAACATTTAGCTCAGGGACTTTAATTGCTAAATGACCGACCTTTGCAACTCGTCCGTGGTCCAGACAATCCTGCAGCTCCAGCTTGTCCATCCCCGAGGCACAAAGAGGCCTAAAGCAGGGAGATCCATGACAATATACCTGTGCATTGCAGCACTGCATGGAAGTCACATTAAAACAACGACATGGACCTACCTTTTCATGCCTGGCAGGTTCCCCCAGAAATATCTGGCGCGATGGGCAGCAGAGACCTCGATAGCATCAATCATTACAGGGTTACACTGGGCAAAGCAGATAGAGGTTAGTCAGACTCTGTCAGTCTGTTACGTAAAATATTAATATTTCCTGAGAAATCCTAGCATCTACGATGAGCTAAACCCATTTAGCCCTGTCTGTAATCTCCGTGCTATATATATATATATATATATATATATATATATATATATATGTTAGGGGTGGAACGATTCACAAAATCCACGGTTCGGTTCGATTCACGGTTTCTGGTCACGGTTTTCGGTTCGATTCGATACATGTTGATTGTTACACCGAAACTCCATAAAAAATTATGAAATTAATGAAAAAATCCCCCCAAAAATAATGGATTGTAATTAATTTAAATGATCCGCGGAAACCCTGGATCATTTCCGTATGTTTTGCTGCTTTGAATTTAATCATCTGGCGCATGCTAACCTGACAACAGCCAGATGCATGTCTCGCTCCGCCACATGCATCTGGCTGTTGTCAGGTTACATGCTCTCTAACATCTCCAAGGAACTCAGAGGGGAGCGGACGAAGCCACAGCGGGGGCTGTAGGCTTTGCTTTGAGCAGCCGGTCTGGTGCGCAGCGGGGCGGAGCGGGGGTTGCTGACGGAGTATGAGGGATTTCGGGGTTAGCATGACATGTTGCTGTTAGCATAAACAAAACGTGTTGCACAATGCTTGCACACTGTTGCACTTTTATCCACAACTTTCTTTCCGCCGTCATCGTAGGTCACTCTAAATGCAAAGCGCTCCCATACAGCAGACCTATAAAGTGCTGCTGGCGCGTCTTCCAACTCCAGTTCTTTCCCACTCGCCAGTCCGACAGAATTCTCCACAACAACTGATTTTTTTCCCTGCTACACCCGGCTACGCTGCTTCGCTTCTTCTTCTTCTTGTTTACTACTGGTGGTTGGCTTTGGTCGCAGTACCGCCACCTTCTGCTCTGGAGTGTAATCGCTTCCTCTATGAGAAAAAGGAGCAGCGCATGAACCGAACGAAACACACGCGAACCGAACCGAGACAGTCGAACAGAACGATCTGACGGTTTTCATAAATCGTCCCATCCCTAATATATATATATATATATATCCCTACATCCCTAATATATATATATATATATATATATATATATATATATATATATATATATATATATATATATATATATATATATATATATATATATATATATATATATATATATATATTAGGGATGGGACGATTTATGAAAAATATATATTTTTTATTATCATTATTTTTTTTCAACAGTAGGTCGCAGATTTCTAAAGTCGGTAATAAAGGGGTTAAGTTGAATCCTTAGACATTAAGCAAACAGACATCATCTGTTAAAAGTAAATCCATTACTGACAAACAATATGACTGAAATTCTTCATTGCTAAAGTTTTACAAATCAACATAATTAACTGGACTTGCCTTCGTTTATGTAACATATCTAACTTGGATGTGTTTAATTACCTTTAAGTGTCTATAGCTAAATCCTTATCATGGTTCAGATTTAAATTGGTTTACAGCAGTTTCCACTCCTTCAAATATCTGACTTATTTTTTTCCATAAAAATATTAATGAGCAAGGGGAAAAAAATCTTTAAAGAAAAAATAATTGCATTTCTTTAGCCTATGATATTTGTTTACGAGATAAAAAGGTTTATACATCTCTGATGTAGACTTGTTTAGGGATGTACCAATATTTCTACCGCGTAATTCTTCCCGTAAAAAAAAATATTAGGTAGTTATATTGACTTAGTGTTCCAGAAGACAGAGCCAAAAGTCTAAGGAACAAAGAAGCACTGATCCATACATACTATCCATGTTAGAAAACGTAACTGTGAACTGGCCCCATAGGAGGCTCGTCTAGAAGGAAACAGTAAAACAGAGGAGCTCTGGGTTGGTTTTCATGTCAGGAGGATGAGAAAGAGCATATCCATTTTTTTTCTTCTTCCATATTTTTTTCTAAAACCTGCAGTTTTTTTTAAATCAGCTCCACAGCATGATGCAGCCACCACCACAGTTTTTTTGAAAGTCCATTACTTAGAATCAATTGGTCAGAACACTGTTGGAATTACATGGGGCGTAAATCCCACTGTAAAAATCTAAATCTAAATAAGTAAATTTTTCTTGAAATAAGTCTACTTCTAAGAAAGACTATTTTGTAATGAAATGGTATGATGTATTAATAAAAAAAAAAGAAGAAAATTCTTATTTTAGGTGCATAACATCTGGTTGACCTATTTTAAGGGTAAAACTACTCCTTCCATCTTATTTACCTGCTGAAATTGTGGGGAAACATTTTTACTTATTTTTTTCATTAGCTTTTGCTTCTACTGTGTCCTCCTGACACTCACCTCCAGGAACCTGGAGATGTCCCTCTTGTCATTGACGCCCATGGCCACCACATTCTCAAACATCCAGAAGAATGGACGGTCTTCTCCGGTTTTAGGCTTGGCTTCGCTCAACAGACGGTAAAACTCAAAGAACAGCCTCCCTGTGCCTTCTGAAACGAAACACACAAGCATTAGAATCCACTTACATCCATCCTTATTTGTCCTCATCTCACAGAAAAGGTTATTCACACACGTTGCTTTGGTTTTATTTCTCTCTATATAGATATATTTCAGCACATCAAACACAGTCCTGTTACTTACAATACACTGCTCTACTCTTTATCTTTTTATCCTTAAATCATTTTTTACAATATTTAAAGGATAAAAAGTATTTATTCTACTTTGGTTTGTGTTTTGTAAATGTTGATTGTGAATTTCTCATCTAATTAAATCTAAAATGTGAGACTAAGGAGTTTTTTTTTTTTTTTTAAATCAAAATATTCATTTAGCCTAAAAACCCATCAGAAAAAAATCATGATGCAGCCATGTGTTGTTTATTATCTTTGGCAGTGATGAGCATGCTCTGCACCGGTGGCGACCTGATGCCAAAAGTGAAGGTTTCTGATTCTAAAACGCTCTGTGGACTGCAGGAAAAGTTTTTGGTTAGTATTAGAGAGAACCTGTTGAGATATTTCAGTTGTTTACAAAGGAGAAATCTAATCCATATAGGTGGGTCTGCTTTAAGGATCAGGGTTGGGTTCAACTTTTAGATGCTAAACTGCTGCTTTATTTCCATTTTTAGGTAACAATCTGCAAACAGCCTTCTGGTGCAAAAACATTTAATATGACATTTAAACATGATTGAAATTCCATGTCTAGTTTGTGCTGCTACTGGCTAAAAACCCATAACTAACTAAAGTCTTAAGTAATGGGAAATGTAAAAAAAAAAAAGAGAGATAGAAAACACATTTCAATACCGAATAAACAAACTTTGTACCAACCATACAGGCCTTTTCTAGCAGGATTCACAATGGAGAGGTCATTGCAGGGACTTCCTCCAATCACCAAGTCAAATGGACCCCACTCCTGAATCTGAGAGGAACAACAGCACAACCTTGTGTTAGAAAAAGGGAGTTACACCTTTAGTAGAATTCCTCCTGACAAAACGGATCGGAATGAATTATCAATGATTAGCTTTATGTCTGAAAGCCCATGTAAACAGTGATGGCCAAAAGTTTTTTCAGTGTCAGACATGTGTTTTCAATTTTTACAATGTAATTTACAGTCTGTAGAGTATCCCGTGAAGTGATACACTTTATTAAAGTGATCATCTGATTTGCAGCCTGGTGTTTTTGAGGTATATTAAAATCATTGTTATTATTTGGCTAGCAATAACAGAAAGGTGTGAAGCACAAAATGGCCCCCACATGCACAAAAAATGTAGTCAAAGATAAAATATTCATTATAATACGAGGTTCTACTGTAAAGAGGAAGGTTTCAAAACCCAGAGGATTCTTAAAGTTCCCCTAAGAATGAGCAACGAAACCTTTGCTACCACCAGCACAGAATTACAGCATAGAGATTGAGGGGAACCTTTTAGTCTTATTCCTAGAAAGAGCAGAACTACTTTCCTAACAGAGTTTGCTCGATCCTACTGGCAGCATGTAGTGCATTCACAGCAGGGAGAAAACATCTGGACAAGAAATGAGAGGAAACCGCAAGAATGAAAAATAAGAAGTGTAGAGTTGAAAGGAAAGGCCTTTTTTTAAATTATTTTATATATGAAATTTCGTTTTATACAGGGTTCAGACAGTGAGTGAACTCTTAGCAGTGAAATTAACATTTCCATTTTATAAAGTGCAGCAGTGATCAAATGCAAATAGTGTGTGAGGAAAAAATGGTGCAAAATGCATTGATTTGGAAGTTCAGAGCAGTGCAGAAAGCAGACAAATATATATTGTGCAAAAATGGAGTAGAAGAGCATCCCAATGGAAAGCAGGAAGTTGTGTGTTTGATTCCACTTTGTCCTGAAACATGTCCAGGTGGTCCATTTCTACTCCTAAGCTCTGGATCCAGATCACTCAGATCAGATATTAATTGTACATTGTGTCCTTTTCCCGCTGTTTAAGATAATCAGAACAACCCAAGATTCTTCATGGGTTACTTTAAGGATTTCACCAGTGGACTCGGACCAAAATTAAATGTTTTTTTTTTTAAGTCACCATGTGGGCTCTGAAAAAACAGATGCTGTTTCTTACATTTTTTTTAGTGATGTTCCTGACATCATGGACGTACTGGATCTTTCCTGCATGTCGGACCACACCCACAGAAATGGAGTCCTCACACACCTCGGACGCCACGTACTGGTCCACCTTAAAACCCAGATCCCTCAGAACCAGGTAGCCTGGAACCACAAACACCAACAAAACACAAATATATTTTTAGAACATGAAGATAGCGACTAAAATCAGTGTATAAAGCTACAATATGATATAAAAATCAACCCATGGCACAAACAGGGCAGTTCCGTGCAGTTCTACATTCATTGTGCAATCTGGTGAGCATTATTGCAAAACACTAAAGCTAAAGCCAGGTGATGTAATAAAGGGATAATGTGCACTTAGTTGCTGAAATTGAGATTACAAAGCAAAAAAACTATGTTAAGTGCTTTTTTTTTTTACTCCTCCTCACCAGTAGCAATGCCGTCAAACAGAGAGAGGACTCTGATTGGTCTTCGCTGCTCTGCAGGGACTGCTGGGTAAATCTTTGTTTTTTCCTGGTGGGAAAAAAGCAGAGGAAAAAAAAAAAAGAGAAACTAGTTTTAGGCTCAGTCTTTAAATCAACAATGTTTGAGGTTTTAAGCTGCAGCTTTAACTCGACTTGTTTTAAGCGACAGCGGCTCTGCAGTGATGACTCAGCTATTTACCAATTATTTGTGAACTTCTCTGAGTCATGGGATGTTTTATTTCTACAATATTGCGTACAATTCTTTAAGAACAACATAGATTCTATTATTGCCAGCAATGTTGTCTGCCATCAAGCTCAATGCAGACGGCGAACATCGCCACCAGGACCACAGAGCTGCATCCCAACAGATGATGGACGAGTTTTATGGAGTTGGGAGACTAAAAGATGATGCAGAGGCAAGCAAACCTGAGAAGCTGCCTGTTCTGGTAACAAGAACTGGAGAAAGAAGAAATAAATCCAAATAATTGTTGACTAATCATAAGAAATATTAACAGATTAGTACACTAAGATATACTTTGTATATATTATTAGGTTTTGTTCTTTATTATAGGAGAGATAAAGTGGGAGCTTTATAGATTTATCAGAACTTCATCTGTGGAAATGAGGGCATTAATAGGGAGAAAAACTGATCTTAAAGGTAGTAGACTTGATTTACTAACTATTAACTATGTTGATAAGCATCATCAAAGTCAAGGATCATGGAAACAAGAGGGAAAAAATGAACTTTTGCTACAGGGGAACTAGGTTGTGCTCTGCCTTAGAAAACTAGAGAGTAGGGCTGGGCGATATGGAAAAAAAACTATATCACGATATGGATTATTTTATATCACTATAACGATATATATCACGATATACCACAACTGATGTTGCATTTTATGTTTTCATAGTCCGTCAGATGGACAGGGTTGAAAAAAATCTTTCATCGCCTATTTTTTACCCATCATCTTGTTTCCTAATATGAGAATCCCAACCCCAAACCAAGAACACCAGTTATGCAATTTGCGGCCATGACAGTGAACAGTATAGAATCTTGGCTATTGCGCTGCAGTAATTAATCATTTAATATTCGTTTGTTATTGACATTTTATAAAATTCCAAGGCAAGGTTTTTCTCTTGTCTTTCATTTACCTTGTTTTCCACTAGGAGGCGCCTCGCCTATTTAAGAAGAAATGTGTCTGCACTGGTAATTATATGGTCCCGAAAGCTGTCTTTCTCGACTATGTAAACGGGGGCCATGCCTTTACAGATATAGCGTGAAATAGCACCTGTGATCTGCTTGTGTCGCTGAGACGTCTTCTCATATTGTGATCCTTGGGCGAATGCTTCCTTAAGCTCCGGCTGTGAGAATTTCTTTCCAGTGCTTCCTGTATTTTCATCCCTTGTTTGTTTTGATCGGAGTGGTTGTAGTTTCCCGTGTTCTTGTTCATGATTTTTCTTCAGGTGGTAAAAGAGGCCGGAAGTATTTGCATCAGCCGCTGGAACGGCTTTGCTGCACAGTTTACATATCGGCTGCGTTTGTTCTTTATCAGATGGCTGAAATCCGAAATATAACCAAACAACCGAGCTGCCTCCCCTTTTGGGCAAAAGTGGTGTTTGTTGTGTCTGTGACCTGGCAACTGTTTCGGACTCTGTAACCGCTGCTGTGGTAACATCTTCTTGGGTGTCCATCATTCATTTTTTTTCAAGCCAGAAAGAAATTTCGCGGGCTCTCTCCATTAGTAATGTTGCAAACGTATGGTGCAAAGCCGCGTGACGTAAAGCGGTGTAGTGTCGCAAAACCACGTTCTCTACACATTATCTTTTTATTCTCTTTTTTTTCGTTATACACTTAGAGTTTGCATAGCAAAAACGCAAAATGTTATATTAACAAATTATATTAAAATGTATATTAGCAGTAATAATTATAATAAAAAAGTTTATCACGATAGAAAAAATAGAGGAGAAAGGTCACGATAGACATGTTTCTCTCGTCCTCACGATATATATCGCCATATCGCCCAGCTCTACTAGAGAGGTTGCACCGCTGCACTAAGGAACCAGCTCAGATGGTTTAGGTATCTGAACTCACTGTAAAGTCTATATATATATATATATATATATATATATATATATATATATATATATATATATATATATATATATACATATGTATGATGGATGATGATGGATATATATATATATATATATATATATATATATATATATATATATATATATATATACATATGTATGATGGATGATGATGGATTGCTAAGTAATAAGAACCATCCACCCCTGAGGAAACCCACTCTGCTTCAGAGGAACTCATGTAATAGCAGCCTAAAAACGTCAGGCTGATGACTCACGTTTCTCATTATGTAACATAGAAATGTCTTGTCAGAAAGTGAAACGCTTTTTGGCAGGACAGCAGCAGCATCTCCAAGTACAGTAAAACAAAAAGGAGTCAGGCTGAGTTCAGCTTAAATATGCAGAACAGGTTTGAGCCTGCATGTCAATAAGACTGTGTTCTGTTCCACCTTCTCTTTACACATTGACAGTTGTGACTTTAGGAACCGCTGGATTATCAGGAGCAATGCCGACCTATAAACCTTAAAGGTAAAAATGAAAACAAACCGCAGACAGATGACACTGAGTGGTTATGGGGACTCACAAACTCCTGCCCGTTGTCGTTAGCGAAGAACTCCTGCAGCTTCAGGCTCCAGTCGTGCCGCCGTTTCAGGACGCCGTATTGCAGCAGCGGCTGGCACATGTAGCAGCACCAAGGGTCTTGGTACCGGGCGCTGTTAGAGGCTCCTGGGTCCACCAGGATGTCCAGGCAGTCCACACAGAAACACCTGATGGGATGAAACCACTGGATCTCATGAGAACATTTCTCTTTAAATTACAGAGATAATACCAAACATAAATACATCATATCTGTAGGAGGTATTACCTCAGGTATATATATATAGCATCAAAAAGAAAGTAAAGCTCTTTTTCCTGGAAAAATGCTAATTTTAACAATGTCTGAAGTTGCAGTGCTCATACATCATGCAGGTAACAGTAGGTCTTTCCTAGCTTGATAAACAGTGGCTAATTTGGCAGTACTATTTATATTTGCAAAGTTGCATCTGAACGAACTGGAAGACCTCAAGATCAATGTCTTGAAAAAGCTCTATATAAGTATAGACCATAAAAAAAAAAATTTATTTTGTCGATAATGTTTTCTGATTTTATCATTATGACTTTATTTTGCGTTTTTATTCTGTTGTTTGGGATTTTGATTAATTTTTTATGAATAACATTTTTATGGATTAGATTGAAAACGCAGTGTTTCTCAACTCTGAGCTGCTAAGTTAAACTATTTAGATCAGACCTAACTAATTTTATGCAAAGAGGACAGTGGGTTCTGAGGGCTGAAGTTGGGAAACACTGACCAAGAGTATTCTAGAGCATTCCTGACTGCCTGACAGCTGAACCATGTTCCAAACTAGGTTTTTTTCCAGCGATGGGAGGAAACACTAGGATTGTTCAAAATTAATGTAGGCTGCTGAAAAATTGCAGGTCTTATGAAGGTAGATTTGTTTCTTTATCGAATCAAAAAAAAAGGTTGCTTCAATCAAAAAATATATTTTCAATTAAAAAAATCTTCACTTCAATGAAGTGAAGACAATCCGCCCACTGCGGAACGTTTCTGTCAAAACTATTCAAAACTTTTTGCACTTCAAAAAAAAAATGATTCAAATAAAACAATTTGAACTTTTTTTTTCACTTCAAAAAAAAAAAAAAAAAACATTTATTCATAGGTTTATTTTATTAATTGTTTTGCATTTGCACAGTTTTTTCTTTGATTGATTTGTTTTTTTTTTTTTGATTGAAACAACTTTTTGGGACACAAATGTCCTACCCATGTATTGCCCAAACACAAAATAGATCCCTTCAACCAAAGAGAACATTTTCCAACAATAAAAAAAGTGTTCAAATGCAATTTTTTGAGACTTAAATATTTTATTTGCATTCAAAAACTATTTTGTATGATTGAAAACGTTTATCTTTTCATTGAAGTTACTTTTTTTTATTGATTCTGTTGTTTGTTTGAAGCAACTTTATTTTTGATTGAATAATAAAGACACAAATGTCATACCCATTATATGGTCCAATCAAAAATCAATGTTACTTCAATTAAAAAAGTTGCTTTAAACAAAAAAGACTGAACTTCCATCAGATAAAACATTTTCAATCAAAGAAAAACAGTGTTCAAATGTATTTTTTTGAGTCTCAAATATATTTTTGCATTCAAATACTTATTTTCTTTGATTATAAAGTTTTTTTTTCATTGAAGTGAAGATTTTTTTTTATTGAAAATATATTTTTTCATTGAAGCAACCTTTTTTTTGATTGAATAATAAAGAAACAAATCTAACTTCATAAGATCTCCTTTAACTTATTCTAGAACCTAATAACAATTAGATCCTTTTACCGTCCTAAAAAACGTTTATAAACAAATATTTCTGTTAAATTTGACTTTTTGGAATTTTTACAAGATCGTTTTGATCTCTTTCTCTTTGCTGATGTTCCATGTTGCTACTAAAATTTTGGGATGTGGATGAAGCTTTTCTCTGTGTGGGACTGACCTGCAGCAGTTGGCGTTGCCGCAGAGCAGAACCTCTCGGCCTCCGCAGCAGACTGTGCAGTAGGACTGGTAACCATCATCGTCGTACATGTAGGAAATCTCCAGGAACACGTCCTAAACACACAGACACCTGCATTTTAACATTTCCATTCGTAGATCTAAAGATCCCCATCTGCAACAAACCTCACCTTACAAGTTTGGCACAGGCCTCCTTCAAACAGCGGGTGGAAGGTTGCTGCTCTCATCTTTCCACACGAGAGACAGAACTCTGAAAAGCGAAAAAAACAGATTTAAATCATATTAATACACCAAATCCAAAAAAAACACAAAGAGCTGATGCACCCAGACTGTACCTTCTATACTTCTTTTCTTTTTTTGTACTTCATTCACCATTTGTTCTGGAAGATGGGAGAATGTGAAAACAAACCCAAGAACATAAATCCCACTTATTGGATTCTAGATTCAGTATTTCTAAGCTGTAACTATAGCATTTGAGCTCTACCTACCTCTGCTACAGGGCTCTTCGGGCGCAGCCTTGGTCTTGGAGGGGCTGACTTTGGGTCGCTTTGCGCTTGGGAAATATTCTGGCAGGGAAACATTGAGGATCTGATGGTCCAGAGGGTTACCGTCTGCAGGGATAAACAGACAGTCAGATAACTCTCCTAGCTGCTTAAAACGGGGGGCATCATGATCATAAGATATGTCCAAGTGTTAGGGGTTGTTCTCACTGGCATTGGATGGGGGTTTGAGTCCTTCTTCCCCTTTGGGCTGGAATCCACCGTTGGCCCATTCCAGCATGGGTTTGATCTGGTCCTCAGGATTGTCCGTCTCACAGGGTGGAAACGTCTTCTCCGCCCTGACACTGGCCATCTGAGTGAGCAAAAGAAACGTCACTCCATCTCCAATTCACCTGATTACAAGAACAAATCTGACCTGACGCTGCAAAGTAATCCAGCATGCAGAACACAAAGATAGCAGGAGAAACCCGTTTTAACACTAAATCTAACGCGCAAGCACAAACCTGGTCTGATGATTACAGAAATATGCACTTTGGGAAACATTTGTGTTATTTGCTTGTCTTACTTCTCTCATCCTCTGACATGTTGGATATCAACCTCTAGACCACGTTTTAATTATGAGCCATTCTTGTGATCTTTATGTCTTTTTTATAGTCATTATTCTACATTCTATTGAAAATGAAGGAGAAATGGAAGGAAGTCCAAATTATTTGAGAAGATTCAGCTCCACAGAAGAATGTTTCACCTTTGGCACCCCAGACACCCTGGGACTTGTGGTAATCATTGATCAGTAGGATGGTTAACCTGTTGAAATAAGCTTCTGTCTCCTCCGGTTCATCTATGTACTTCGTGCAGAGTTAAAGTTTGTCTAGAGTGTAAATCTAAAGCCTCTTTTTGGTAAATCTGTTGTTTCCTGATAGAATGTGTGTTTCAGGAGACACAGCTACAAGTTTGCTAGATCTACTACTTTTAGATTTAGACGGGGGAGAAGACAGCATTCGTAAATGCCAAAACAAAGCTAAGTTTAAGCAGAACTCCAAATTCTACAAGGCTAAGAAAATATCTACTGCTTCCAACTTTCAACTTCGACCCAAAAGTCCAAAAACCAGGCAAAAAAATAAAATTAAATTAAAAATTCAAAGACATCATATTTACAGTTTGCCACAAGCAAAAAAAACTTGCCATCCCCAACAGATGAGGACGGTTCTCTGGTCCTAACCCTAACCCTCCTAATTCACATGTGGTTCTTTTTAACCCAGTTGTATCACAGTCAGTGTTGTTGACTGGCCATCAGCTTTTATCACAGCAACTTTTGAGTTTGTTAGCAGAGCAATGGCTCTGAAGCAGTGGAGACTCCATCCATCCATCCATCCATTATCTTACACGCTTGTCCCAATTGGGGTCGCGAGGGGTGCTGGTGCCTATCTCCAGCAGTCAATGGGCGAGAGGCGGGGTACAGGCTCTGAAGCAGTGGAGACTCGATGGTGTTAATGAAATCCAACAGTAACGTATCGCATTCTCAAATGCTAACGGTAAACATATCATTACAACAGCAAAAAATAGTTGTTGTGAAGCACTTTGAAATAAACTCTGCAATCATGGCATGATTTCAACAGAAGATGTTCTGTATCATGAGGAAAACCTCGCTGTCTGGCCACTGTAAGTCAAAACTCCTAGAGTAGCGTTCTGCCAATCAGCATCAAGCAGCCAGCGTCATGACCCACCCCTGCCCCATAGACCCCCTAAGAGGTTTAGCCTCACTGGCAGTGACATATTTTTTCATGTTATTCAATCAGGGCTCTACTTCTTGCTCCTTACCTCAATAGATGGAGCCTGGAGCCTCAATGGGGATTTCTTATAGAGTAGAGAAGAGGAATAACGAAATAAACAGCCAAATAATGAGCAACACACTCATAAATCAGGCACCTTTTAGTGAATACTTATTGCAGTTAAATGACTGCATTTATAATGTGATAAAAATGCGTGTTTGACTGTTAAGTTTACAAAATTTACATGGGAGGCTTAGTCTCCCTTGTATTCAATGAGAAATTGCCACTGCTCTGAGGTCACAACTGTTAATAAATATTTAGGATCCAAAACCAAAAACCTTGAGTTCAAAGTTCAACTAGAGTTAAAACTTATTTTCCCTTTAAATTAGTTATTTAGGTCAGTTTTTTGAAGAGAAGGAACCCAGCAAAATAAAACCCTAAATACAGTCCTGACACCAACTTTAGGGATCTTCCTAACACTTTCTAACCAGGTAACCGACCAGAATGAAAAAACCTCAGAGAAAGAAGAGGTTTCTTCAAGATTAAAAGTCAGAATAGGAACGGACCTAAAACTTTCTAAAACAGTATGGATGAGGCCAGGTTTTTGCACAGCATGTTTAAAGTTCACTGGAACAAAACCTGACAACAGGCTGCATTTTATAGAGGGGATGAACTGATCCCAACTGAGTAAAAACTCTGAAACGAGGGAGGACAGGATCGCAGGGAGAACCTGATGGCCTGATGACATCAGGGTTATGGGTTCAAATGTATCTAATACATCTTAACAAGGGTTTCAGCAAAATGGGTCACAACCTGTGTTGAAAATTTTACTCTTGTGGTTACAACCTTATCTACTAAAAAAATTGCAGAAAGCTGTTGGATTACTCAGAGCATTCTTTATGCTACTTGGAGTTATGCAATTTCAGAGGCGTGTGCTCACTTACAGTCCTTGTCATGATGCCTCACATTTGTTCATTTTTGGACCTCTCCTAAGGCCAAAAGATCTTTAAGCAATCCTTGAGGTTTTCCTACTTTAAGACAGCTTGTTCAGTTATGCTTTTTTTCATTTTAATTCAATGAAATTTGGCTTTTCATAAGTGGGGAAACATTAGCAACTTGCAGGACAGCAGCCCTGGAGGACCGATTTTGCACACCACTGCTAAAAACCTTCTAAGAAGTCTGAAACAGAAAAGAAGTTTATACTTAAATGTAAATTACAAATGTATGGTTACATTACTATTACGAAATGGCTATAATGGATCTTAAATCAGGGAGTCAGAGAAGTTATGTTATCCTACTGGTTGCTAGAGTTTCCAGCTTGAAAAAAACCCATAAGTTTACATTTGATCCTAGTTTTCCACTCAAGCTCCTAGTTGTAACAAAGAAATCAGCCATTACAGCCAAGTCAGATAAAAAAAGAATCATAACTTTCAAAACTTCTGAGCCAAAGCTGGATCAGCTGGATAATGATGATGAATGCAATCAAATGTAACCACAAAGGATGCTGGCAATCAGCTGCTTCTGACAGAATAAAATGTACCTCTACTGCCTGAAAGATGGCCTTTCTGTAGGAGGCCAGCTTGGTGTAGGAAGCCTGACTGAAGAATTTAGGGAACGCTGTGAGAGAGTCCAGTTTATCTGCTGAAACCTAGACAGAGAGATTACACGCAAAGTTTTAAAAGATTAATGAAAAACGTATTTTTTCCACCTCAGTTTTTGAGCATTCTTTTTTTTTTATTACCTCAGAAAACTTGCCATCTCCGAACCACTGCAGCCACCTCATGCCATGGCTGGCCTGCCGTTTCCCTGTGGCCCGCCATGTCACCACTATGCCAGGCCACCAGGAGAAGCCCTTGATTTTCCCCCAGACCAACTGGCCGATTCCAAAACCTTTGTGGTCCTGGACACAGAAAAGAAGGAGAGGAACATGAGAAAAGCAAAACAACCTTACTTAACTTTATGCAAAATACAGACAGAGGGGAGGAAACAGCATAATATTTGAAAAAATCTTAGGGCTCCATCACACCTTGCCGATTTAGCCAGCGTATTCCTCACGCCCCAGAATCTCCTAAAAGCAGGCATACAAGGAACTTTCTATGTATTTTTTAAATTTTGGACATATGTATAGTGTTTTCAAAACAGGTCCAGAGCGTATGTCCAACGACAGCGTAACTTATGCATTACGCATGGCAGCATAATGCCCATGAAATGGTGTATAAGCCATTGTCCTGAGGGGAGCAGCGATGTGTCCGGAGGAGCCTGGCCTGCATAAAAATGTATTTGATCGTGATATTAACCTAGCTGCATTTTACCGACAACCAAAAAAACAAAAAAAGAATAAAGAAATAGAAAGAAGGTTTGCAGTCGCAGCAGATTCCGTGTCATGTCTGCTAGGAAGCTTGTTGGTCATGGGCGTGAACGCAGAGAAGATCCATCACACTCACCTTCTGGCACACCTTATGATGGGGATGCAGTATGGAAGAGAAGTGACTGTTTCCTCCTGTGAACCCCCTTACATTCCAAGATGCTGATAATACGACACGTTCAGCGGTCGTCTAGAACACCTCAAATATGTTGATATGCATTGGAGTTCTTGATAAGTTATTCATAAGTTACTAATAGGTTTTCTATAAGCTAGACGCTACGACTTATGAGTAACTTACACCTAACATATGTCAACGATCAAATTATTTACCTGTAACTTATGGCCCATGTATGGCATACGCTCGACAACGTTCTTCAGCGTGCTCATAAATTATACAAAACGTACCCATAACCTATTCAACATATGTCAGATTTTTGCTGGATTTTTCGTATGTCAGGCATACTCTGGTCTAAATCGTCAAGGTGTGACAGGGTCTTTGGAGTAAAGAGAGAAAGGTGCCTAACTGTTGAAATTGACAAAATATGGTGGAAAGTAACAATGAAAAACAGAAAGAAAACCAAAAAATACACCCAGAAGGCTAAAGCGGGCTGGGAATCACTTGAATGGCTGCTATTTTCCAACCTTTTAAACACTATGAAAAAAAAACAAAATTTTGCAAGAGTGATTAAAATTTTAAAAAACATTTTAAGATTAATTAATGATACAAAAATGTTTCAACGTTTAGCTGGATGTTAGCACATTGTACCCTAAGCCACTTTATCAGAAAGCTCAGTATCAGCATACAGATATTAATCTGTGCTGCAAGACAAACACAACAAAGTAAGAAGTTAACTATTGTGGAAAACATCATTTCTGACACGCAACAGGCAGCCAATATCACAGTGTAATAAACTCACACATCTTAAATGATAATTATCCTAACAATTGAGGATGAAGAACACAGACATGATGCTTTTTGAAGTTTAAAGAAAAGGAGAATATGGAGATGGACTTTGCTTCAGGACAAAAAGTTAACATGGGATGGCAGGTGTGCGCAGAGAAACTCGTGGATATGTACTTATTTCTTATTAGTGGTAAGCTTCAATAGTAGTTACTGCTATAATTTATTGATTGATATATCTGTTTAAAAAATAATTATAATATGAAGAAATAGTACAGAGGGCTGCTCAGTGGTGCAGTGGGTAGCAATGCACCACTGAGCAGCACCAAGAAGGTTCTGGCTTCGATTCCCGGCCTAGGGTCTTTCTGCATGGAGTTTGCATGTTCTCCCTGAGCATGCATGGGTTCTCTCCGGGTATTTTTCGTATGTCAGGCATACTCTGGTCTAAATCGTCAAGGTGTGACAGGGTCTTTGGAGTAAAGAGAGAAAGGTGCCTAACTGTTGAAATTGACAAAATATGGTGGAAAGTAACAATGAAAAACAGAAAGAAAACCAAAAAATACACCCAGAAGGCTAAAGCGGGCTGGGAATCACTTGAATGGCTGCTATTTTCCAACCTTTTAAACACTATGAAAAAAAAACAAAATTTTGCAAGAGTGATTAAAATTTTAAAAAACATTTTAAGATTAATTAATGATACAAAAATGTTTCAACGTTTAGCTGGATGTTAGCACATTGTACCCTAAGCCACTTTATCAGAAAGCTCAGTATCAGCGTACAGATATTAATCTGTGCTGCAAGACAAACACAACAAAGTAAGAAGTTAACTATTGTGGAAAACATCATTTCTGACACGCAACAGGCAGCCAATATCACAGTGTAATAAACTCACACATCTTAAATGATAATTATCCTAACAATTGAGGATGAAGAACACAGACATGATGCTTTTTGAAGTTTAAAGAAAAGGAGAATATGGAGATGGACTTTGCTTCAGGACAAAAAGTTAACATGGGATGGCAGGTGTGCGCAGAGAAACTCGTGGATATGTACTTATTTCTTATTAGTGGTAAGCTTCAATAGTAGTTACTGCTATAATTTATTGATTGATATATCTGTTTAAAAAATAATTATAATATGAAGAAATAGTACAGAGGGCTGCTCAGTGGTGCAGTGGGTAGCAATGCACCACTGAGCAGCACCAAGAAGGTTCTGGCTTCGATTCCCGGCCTAGGGTCTTTCTGCATGGAGTTTGCATGTTCTCCCTGAGCATGCATGGGTTCTCTCCGGGTACTCTGGCTTCCTCCCACAGTCCCAAAACATGACTGTTAGGTTAATTGGCTTCTCTAGATTCTCCTTAGGTGTGAGTGTGTGTGAATGGTTGTTTGTCTCTGTGTTGCCCTGCGATGGACTGGTGACCTGTCGAGGATGTACCCCGCCTCTCGCCCGTAGACAGCTGGAGATAGGCACCAGCACCCTTTGCGACCCCGTTAGGGATTAAGCGTGTAAGAAGATGGATAGATGGAGAAATAGTACAGAAACAAACACTGCAAACAAAATTCATTCTTGCTCAAGATGCTTGAAATGCGATGCATGATGCACCTTGTAGGGCTTCAACAATAGAGTTTGCATGTAAACCGGTTCTAAATTGGTTTGCAAAGTCAGCTGTGACTCATTCAGATGTTTTTATCATCTGAATAAAAAGGCAGTTCATTACCAAGACTTGTGGAGAGCTCCATGGCCTGCCAAGGAGTAAATGCAATTTTGAATCGGATGTTACATACATGAGACAGACATGAGGAGTGGAGCTAGAAAACCAAGGCTGATCGCTGCTGAGGCAGCTGTAAGTTTTCTGAGCCCTTATTTAAAGAGCCTTACCCTAAATGAGCCTGCGGTTTATAGGCACATAAAATAAATGTGGCCACCAGAAGGTTCTGGTGTTTGTGTTTCAAGAATGTTCTGATCAATCTTCACTTTTTTTACACCAAAAATGTTGATTTGACAACATATTTCTTCCTTTGTATTGTTTTGTTTCTGTGTTGACTGATAGAAAGAGGGGTGGTCCACACTATCTTTCTGACTCACCATTACTTACATCACACAGCAGATTTGGAAAGAGGAGATTCTACCTCTTTAAAAATAAAACTTTGTTGAAGTTTGGAAAAAGCTTGAAATTCTAAATTTTTTTAAATGAATGTTTTTATTGTTTTTCATCTTAACAAGGCCGTTAAAGTATTTCGAAAGCAAACAGTTTGGCATTGTGTTGTGGATTGACTCAAGAAGCAGATGTTAACCTACGTTAGCCAGAACATTGTGTGAAAACAACCACAGAAACACAGACATCGCACAGCCAAGACCAAAGCCCGGAGATTTCAGGGTGTGCAGAGGTAAACATCGCCTTGCAGAGGCATGCAGAGAACATGGGAGCATGCAGATTTGCTTGAATGTGAGAGACTGTCTCTAAGCTCATGCTGGGAGGACTCACGGTCATCATGAGCTGAATAAACCCACAGAAAGAGAGCAAACAGAGGCAGAGTCTGTGCGCCTGGCTGACCACCTGCATCAACACAAGGCCAGGTGGAGAGACTTCCATGGAAGGAGTTACCCTCCTTTTTCAACCCCTGCCAAAGCTCTACTTCCCCTTTTCAGATGATCTCCAAGCAGCACTGATACAGCTGTCAGCTTTCTTTTTACTGTTTGTCTCTCCTTATTTCGGTGGATTAGAATTCCAGCCTTTAGTCCTCATTTCAAAGAAAAATGTTTGCATTTCTTAAGTGGAGTCATGGATAAGCTAATTCGCCGACTGTTAGAAGGGGAACACAATTTTCTTTTAACAGATACGTATTCTTGTGTTTGATCATTTGGATTTCTCCAACTTTAATTTTCTTACCAAAAATCCCTATTTTGTTCCTTTCTGATGTGGATATGTCCTGTCCAGCCCCCAGGGCATGAAGCTGGCTTGCTACATGTTGACCTATATGCAACGCAGCAAGAGATTTTTGAAGGCATGCAATGGGCTTACTTTGCTTATCAAATTGAAGTAAAGAGAAGGATTTATAGGATATTTGTCAACTACCACTACATGAAGAGTACTCCCACATGTTGGCCTGATCCAGACCCTGAAATCTAGCAAGATGATGGCATCCCCTCGCACCCTGAGTATGAGAACGCCATTAACAGCTGGAAGAAAATTTTACACAGTATCTGTTAGAAATAAAATTATCTGTTTAATCTCATTTCTAATACAATAACATGCTTTTTAAATAAATCTTACTGATAATATACGTACACAATACAAACACCAGTCTTTATTTGCCAATCGTGGTTACCATTTAGCATTAGTACCCTGATTTTTTTTTTAGCTGTCTGGCAGTTTAGCGTTAGCAATGGAATTTTATTTAGCAGAATACGGGTGAGCTTACGTTGGTTATGCAATGCACGCCACTGCTGATTATGTCAGTTATCTGTTTCAGGAAAGATTCTTTCCTAATCATCCATCCATCCATTTTCCCCATGCTTAGTCTGTCATGGTCAGTGCATATCTCAGTCATGTTTTGGACTGTGGGAGGAAGGCGGAGTACCCGGAGAGAACCCACGTATGCACGGGGAGAACATGCAAACTCCATGCAGAAAG